AACCAATCCAACTAAACTGTGAAGGTGGAGCTCAAAGTAGGGGCGATGGTGTGCTTATCAAATTTGTAGGACTAACACACCTGTGGCTACCCCATGGATGTAATGTAAGTTAGCATGACTAAAAAGTCCACCAAAAACTCCAGTTAGGCATCAATGTGGGGGTCTAGCTTGTTTTGCTTGTGTTATCGATTGTACATTAAAAAAGCATGGAACCAAGTAATTTGAGGGTAGATTTTAGAGGGCTGTACTCTTGTTAGTGGCTGATTTTGCCACAATCAATCACCAAAAGTTTAATAAGTTGTCCTCAGACATATATTCTCGACACAGATCAGATCTGGCCTATGTAGAGGTCTTCAAATCTGGAACTGCATCCAAATTGAAGACCTGTTTCAGTCTAACAGATACGTTGGGCTGTTCAAATGTTCTCTCATCCTCAAAATTAAAACACAACCACATTCAGGGCTCTGAACATAAAACAAGCCCTTCCACTTTAAGAAAGCACAATAATGAAAGTATCCAGTCATGAAAGCAAATTTCATAGCAGTTTGAACAGTATATGGACAGAGTGCACATTTTACTGCATACATAGCCACAGTGAATCTCACATGCTTAGATGATGACTCTATTTCTTCCTCATCCTTAACACCCAAAGGACCCCAGTGTTAAGTCAGACCTTTTATTTGGAGGATGAGAATCTGTCCACATTCTCCCACTCTATGCCACTTGCTCACTCAGGTAATAGGCAACATCTGGATCAGCAAAGACTCTTTGTTCCATTGTGCAAATGTGCTAATGAAGAATGATTGCTCCCAAGTGGATCTCGTTCATGCCGGGCATCGGCAGCAACAGTTCAGTAAGGTAACATCTATAAAGCCTTTATTAGCACTTTTAGAAACATTGAAAGATGTGTCTTTTACCCTGTAAAACATGAGTTAACATTTGTGAAGAAATGTTTATTTTGTTTCGTCACCGTGACCCTGACCCCAAAAACTGTAAATCGGTGGTCATTAGTCCATGTTCATAAAGACTTTCTTCAATATACAATAGATACATACGTGTACTATTACTGTGTCAACAAAACTTCATAACTCCAAGAAAACTCACTTTTCAAGAGAAAAAAAGCTGATTAACTTTCGGTGCAAGTTAGTCTGATAAGATTTTATTCTAAGTAATTTAAGACCATTTGTGTTAGTCACATTCTTCATGAATTTATGACAGAGTGTAAAGAGTATCTGGCTTTTTCAAATCATGTAAAAATATGAAAAATGGAGATACAAGGTTTCATTTCAACAGCATCATTTATAAGTTTGATATCACTGATTTGAACAATATGAAGCCAATTTTGCTATAGAAACGTGTGAAATAATGGTCCTGACAATTAGTAGGAAGCTGTAAGAACATGAGAATTTTATGATGACAAACGGAGCTGTAGATGATTCCATAATAATTGTGAAAGCTGTACAGCATCGAGAATAACCTTGTAATAAAATTAATACCCAGAATGCCTCATATTTAAAAAAGCAGTGATCAAATATGACTGATAAAACATCACTGATGCTTATTTTACATCATGGATTTAATATAAATAGTTTATTACAGTTTGTTGTTTAATAACATTTGCAATTGCCATGTTATAACTTCTCAATGTTCCCAAAATACTTCTAATTGTGACTAAACCATCGCTTTATCTTTTAGTGCCTAGTGTATAACCTTTCAATCTACACAGACAAGTTACTATTGAATAACAGTTTGTAATATAACAAGTGATTGCAAAGTTTTGAAGGTTAGTCCATGTTAGTAAACAACTTGTTTTGCTGCAGTTGCAGTATTTGCTGTAGTTACAATATTTGCTTCCATGGTTTTAAACAAATTGCAGTACATTAGAGACAATAAGCGATAATATTAATTATAGACCTACATTGCAAAAGTGTTGCCAAGGCATTGTGATGAACTGTTTATGAAACTGGAAGTTTTTTGAACTGCTTTCGAAACACTCGTTAGTAACACAATCGTGGAAAGTCTTAGTTGTTCGTTGCATAAGCTTGCTCCAAACACTTCTTCTTAATCATCTCTGTAAGATGAGATTTTATAGCTGTGTTCTTTTACAGCTGTGTAGGTCAGTGTTGCACTGGCAAACTTGGCAAGTGAGAAAGGCTGCTGTCCAAACAGTCATGTAGAACTTGATATCTGGCCCACAAAAACCTCTCCAGGCCAAACACAAAGTTACTGCTAACTCCTTCACATCTGCACAAGGCAGGGTCCTTCATTTCATTGGTAAGCATGGGAATTGAGGGCTGATCAAGGGGACGTCAACTATGCAGCTGCTCATTGACTGACCAAGCAGATGAGATAATGTTGCACACACCGACCTTGGTTTACAGACTTTACAGAAGAGCTGCTGTACAGTAGGTTCAGTAGGTTGGTGACTTGGTTACAATGAAACTGGACACTGTTGGCTTTTGCATAAGGTGTTCTTGTCTGCTTTATGATCTTACTGGCCATCAATGAACTGCTGTATGCCTCCATGGGTATTGTGAACACCTGTGTTTTGTGATATGTGAGTCATTAATCAGTGCAGGAACTGACATAATTCTGGCCACCAACTGTGTGATTAAGTGCAGCATGTCACGCAAATATGTGTACTGATGTTGGGCTACAATGTAGCCTGGCAACACCAACAGCATCTGTGAACAAACAAAAATCTGACTGCTGATTTAAATCAGAATGGGGATTTCCTCTCCAAATGTCTTGATCCAGAATACAAATGTGTTACCATAGAGAATTCAGAAAAAGTTTTTACTTCGTGATTAATTCCTGATTAAAAAACAATTATGATTGGTTCATGTTCTTCTGTTTCTATGAATACCACCACTGGATATCACTGAATATCTCTAGCCACAGATACACTAATATGATTTCAGGTAAAAATAGACATTCTATGATTAAAATTCATGTGAACGTTGATTCTGATAAATAAAGAGTACTAAGTTACCAGACATTTGCAATAAACATTAGTAACAATGAATAAGTAATTTTCTTTTAGCAGCTAAGTAGGCTACTAGCATTTTTGTAAAAAACAGACTATGGCTTCAGAATAAGGCCTGTCAGTGATGTCAGGACTTAAAAAAGGGTTGGTAAACGATTAAATTCTTTGATAAACCATTTATTTTTCTGATTTTTATATATTTTTTTCTTGTACTAAGGCAGGGGTGCACAACTCCAGTCCTGGAGGGCCAGTTTCATTGCGTGGTTCTAAAGTGGTGGCCGAGGTGGCCAAGGATTTACCTGAATTCTGATTGGCCACCCTGTATGCCACCCCAAAATTTCTGCCGGGTCAATGGCTTACATCTCGCTATGGGAACGACTCTGCAATGCCCCCTTTTGCACATTCTCATTGTGAGCACGTGTCTGTTATTTTATTTGTCTTTTATTATCAGGCTTAAACTAAAAAACACATATATTTTCAACAGAATTTTGGACCACACTGTATATGTAGCTCTCACTTAACTACTTCTTCAGCCTCATCAGTGTTTCTTGAAAATTTCCTAATGAAAATTTACAGCATAAGAGCAAAGTTTTATAGCAAAGAATTGCTATATCAAAAAACCGCCCTCCAAGGTAGAGGCTAAGGTGCGTATGGCACGGTTCACAGCAGCATTGCGCATATTAGCCTGAGCTAATCTCTTCCAGATGATTCTGTCGCACGCCGGTCCGCCTCATACAGAGCAAGCAATTGTTTCTACAGTTCTCTTCAGTCCTAATTAGGACCGTATGTGTGGGGTTGGGACGCTCAGAGAGATGGGGGAATTTGGGCTGAATCATTGTCGAGGTTTTGTTAGATTCTGCTTGAATGTGCTGATCTGAGGCCAAGGTTGTCAAGCTGCGAGCAAGGGAAACTGGTCCGAGAGCAGAGCTGGGTTTGGGTGCGCTGGGCAGATGGTAATGCTTTAGGAAATTGATGAATGGATGGAGGTGGGAAGGTCTTTTCCAAAACAGAAGTTGATTGATGTGGGCAGGATTGAAGATGTAGAGACCTGCAGAGTTACCTTGTATGTGTGTACAGTGGGAAGACATGAAAGTGTGTGTGGCCCAAGGACAGCTGGAGAGTTGGCTCTCTTTTCAGGATGCAAGTATGATGCGAAAGCTGTGGGGTAATTACAAAGAGTTATGACTAGGCCTGAACTCCTGCAACTACTGTGCAAATAGCTGCTTATGATTATGTATCTCTAAACCATTACTCTTTATCACTACGGATATTTTAGTGAAAGAATAACACAGCACACCTGCCATTTGTTATTCTGTTGATTCAAATGTCTGTCCTCCACTTCACCCCAAGTCTTAAATATGTTTAAAGACGTTGGGTCATGGAAAACCTAATATCTTTGCTTTTTGAAATAAATAAATAGGTACAAAGAAAAGGTATATTGTTACAGCATCAAAACAAAGCAGTCCATAAATAAAAACTAAGGTGCATTATGGTTGTGATGTCAAAACCATGAACACCTTTACACACCACTGCTTATTCAGCCTACATCGATTTTACCTGCCCGTCCAGGAGTGTTGCTACTGCACACAACAGCAGAGTTATTGTAGTGGAAGATGTGGTGGGAAACAATTATATGCCAGCTGTCTGGAAGTAATGTATCATTGCCACAATCCAAAGGATCCAGACATCAAAGACGAGTGGCTAAATCTTTTTTTCATTTCAGTGCCCCTGGGATTTCAGCCCAAACATAACAGCTTGCTTCACATTTCAGCCTAGACTGTTTTTTTTTTAAATGGCTGAGCAGCCAGTTGGAGTACAGCTCATTTACATGAATCGCTTTCAAAGTCACAGTAACAAAAACAGCTTTAATTCGAAGGGATGAAGAGGGTCTGTAAAATGAAAAAAATAAAAAATATAATTTTATTATAGACCTTTATAGAACATAAACCACAGAAATATTACAAGAAAAATATAAAATATTTTAACGTATTCTTTTCTCTCTCCTTTTTGACAGAGAGGGGCTCGAGTGGGCAGCTGGATCTGACGGAGCTGATTGGTGTTCCTCTCCCTCCCTCTGTCTCCTTCATCACTGGCTTTGAGGGTTTCCCAGCCTACAGCTTTGGTCCGGACGCCAATGTGGGCCGCCTCACACGCTCCTTCATCCCTGACCCTTTCTTCCGGGATTTTGCCATCATCGTTACTGCCAAACCCACCACTCGTCGTGGAGGAGTCCTGTTCGCCATCACCGATGCCCTACAGAAGATAGTGCACTTAGGAGTAGCATTAGCACCAGTGGAAGATGGCTCACAGCAAGTGGTTCTGTACTATACTGAGCCTGGCACGTCCCGCACACAGGAGGCTGCTTCCTTTAAGATGGGGGACCTGACGGGCCGCTGGGCCAGGTTCACTCTGGCTGTGCAGGGTGAGGAGGTGAAGCTCTATATGGACTGTGAGGAGCACCACAGGGTGGCCTTCCACAGGAGCCAGGAGAAACTCACCTTTCAGCCCAGCTCAGGCATCTTCGTGGGGAATGCAGGAGGAACCAGGCTGGAGAGGTTTGTGGTGAGTAGAAAACGGTGTGTTTATGGTTGTGTATGAGTGGTTTTTCCGTAGTGTGTTTGTTCAAGTAAATGTGTTTATGTGTGTTGCTTTGTGTTTATGCACCTGCACTGTGGAGTACTTTTATGTGGCTGTTCTGGCCTCTGCTTGTGTGTTTTGGTGGTTCCTTCAAATTTATTTTTGTAGCTATTTTCACAATAGGTATTGTCATAAAAAGACTTCACAGATGTTTGGGCAATAAACCTTTCAAGGAACCAAAATTAAAGAGTGAACATTAATTACTTTCGGATTAACCCAATTAGGCCAGAAATGATGTGGTTACAAGTGGTTGAGCTTTCTGGTTTGGGTCAGATTAGCAGGGGACACTGAGAATAAGAATAAGAGAATAAGGACACTGAAAATTAGAACATAACGAACATACATATATAAAGACTAAAGTGCATGATGGTTACATCATAAACACATTTACACATCACTGCCCATTCAGCCTACAGCAGTTTGGCCTGCGCATTAATGATGAAGTTGATAAGGAGTGTTGTTACTGCACGCAATAGCAGAGTTATTGTAGCAGAAGATGTGGTGGAATTAAACGTCTGCTGTATCTTTGTTTTGATGTAACTCAGTTTCTTCAAAACTTTGGCATTCACAAAGGCACTAAGTATTAGGTGTAATTGTTTCCATTTTATATTTAAAAAACAATAAAACATTTTAGTGTCAGCGAAGAAGAAGCTACAGTAAACAGTTGTACTTTAAAGGCGAATGCTCTTTTATTGCACAGGCAGCAAGAGAGAACTGCCACTCAGCACTAACCAGGCAGCCGGGATAGTAGGCACAGTGTCTCTGCTCACACATATTCTCAAAAGACTACACACATTTAGGCTAGTAGGTTCTCCCAAATAATCTGACTCTGTTTCTAATGATTAGATTTAAGCTCTCTGTAATAACTTCAGCTTTTTATTTGACAGTGTTTTTCAGAGGAACTCATTCAGACTTAAGGACAGATTGTCTCTGAATGAGTGTACTCACTTAATGTTTGAAATCAAAATTATTACTTGGCTGTGCTGTTAGCTAATAATGCCGTGCAGTTTGGCTGTTGATCAGTAGTTTCACAGATGTGTGGTGTGAATCCTGAACAACAAGCAACAACAGCAGGCTAATATCAGGGCTGTCAACGTGGCAGCCTTCTATTATGTCAGCATGACCAAAGATCAGCGTTGTATTATTGGAGATATTATTGCAGTACTGGAGGAGTACTTCTTCAGATGTCTGCACTGAATGACTCACTGTATGGATGGGAGCCTGTCAGTTGGCTGTGCTACTCCTGTTGACAACCAGTCACAGAACTGTGGCCTTAAAATACACGGCGTGAATTCAGTCTGATGCAAAGGCATGGCAATTGCCAGGTAAATGGAGGAATCTGTTTGCTGTAAATACATATAAAAGACCTTTATGTGCTCATGAAAATGAAAAAACGAATGCCACAACTGTCCTCGCTCAGAGAAAGTGAATGTTTAGATTTAGAGGACACCCTAAATAACACGCATGTTGACGTTCTGGAAGGAGTAATTGAAAAATGGCTCTAGCAGCCAGTATATGGCTTGAGTGGCTGCGAACCATTAGGGTGACTGAACATTTGCCAGGCATTACGGGAAAACAGAGAGAAAGAGAGTGAGAGGGAGAGAGAGAAAGAAGGAAAGAGTGAAAAGAGAAGGAGAACCTGGAAAGAGATACACGGAGAAAAAGAGAATGAGATAGATAGATAGATAGATAGATAGATAGATAGAGTCAGAAAGAGACAGAGAGAAGAGGTGAAAGAGAACGAAGTGAAGATAGAGAGAGAGAGGGGAGAGAGAGAGTGAGAAGAGAGATATAGAAACTTGAGAGAGAGAGAAAGAGAACATGTAGAGAAAGAAAGTCAGAGATAAAGTGAGAAAAGGAGAATGCAGGGAGAGAGAGAGAGAGAAATTGGTAAAGCTTGTTGATTTCAGACAGCAGTTCAAGTAGGTGAAAGGGCAAAATAGTACTGTTTGATTGGAGTACTGCAGTTTGTATTTGTGCTCTTTTGGTTCTTAATGTTATTTGATGCTGCATAAACACACACACACACACACACACGCACACACACACACACACACACACACACACACACACACACACACACACCAGCACTCAGTCTCATTGCTGCTTAAAAACAGTTAAATATGGATGCCAATCTGCACTGCACACCAACACACACACACACAGACGTATATACATCCGTACCGGCGCGTGTGCACAGGCACACATGTGGCTTTGGCAGCATACCCAGCTTCATAAATATGAAGTGCAGTTGCTGTGTGCTGTGAGTCTTCTCTCTTTAATGGTTTCCTGGTTGTGCAGCAGTGATGCTGCGCAGGGAGTATTTCCTCTGCTGCTCAGCTCCAAATCCCTCCACCCCACTGCCACATACACTATATTCTTTCAGTATGTGGCTCTGGACATTGCTCATGTACTTCTACTGCAGTGCTGCACTAAGCTGATTCTGCTGCTGAATTGTGTTTAATTTCTGAAAGTTTGGTGCACTCATACAAATAAAGGTGCCATAAAGAGTTCTTTGTAGTGCTGCCATAAAAGAACTACCTTTGGTTCTATAAAGAGACTTTCTGTGAAGTGTTCTTTAAAGAAATACTGCAAAGTTTTTCAGTCTGCCCATTGGCTTCTATTGCAGCTAAGTGATTGTCTGTTGTAATTAACCATATACTATGGATGCAGCAGCCAGCAGGTCATGAGTAGATTGAAGAACATTTGATAATGTCTTTCAAACTGGGCTATTGAATAACTGAGGTTTAGGGGAGAACCATGCCTGAAACCCCTCCTCCTTCCTATCTAACCCCCAATTAATTCTCTATTTTCTGTTTCCCATGACAAAGTTTTCAGTGCTACCATTGTTCGTTGGAAGCACGGTCTGACCTTCTATCTCCAGGCAGAAGCCGCCTAGAACTCCCATCCAAGTTCTAAGAGTTCTCTGCTCTCATTCAGTCAGTCTCCTCTCATGCTACCACCATACGTCTGAACTTGCAAATACTCCTTTTGAATGTCATTGAATGGTTCTTTAGGGAACTAAAAGTGGTTCCTCCATGGTGTTACTCCAAACAACCCTTTATGGAACCTCCATATTTAAGGATACGTATTAGGGTGTAAAACTGTGTCAGTACATTGAGTTGCATCTATCTGAAGAAAGCAATTCAGCTGTGTCGATTTGGGAATTCTAGAGTCAAGTGCATTAATATTTATTAAAATATGCCCTCATTTTTGGTTCAACATAAAATTCTCAGGCCTTTTTAAAATGGAAAACAAAAAAAAGCTTGTTTTTATTGTATGTGTTCCACTGCTGTGTAAATTTAGTCTATTTTTAAAAATAATTGTCTTTCTAACTCTCAATCATATAAGTATAATTTAAGATGTGGGATTTCATGATGTGCTGAACCAATTCCTGAAGATTTGTACTCAAAATGAGGTCAGAGATTTGAACCCCTAGTAGAATAAGGTCCCTATGTAGTGACGTACACAAATATACACACCCACAGACACACACACACACACGCAGAGAAGGTGACCACCACTGCCGATGTGTGTGGCCTACCCTGACCTGCCCAGGTCAATGTGTTTACTGTTAGCAGATGGAATTTGCATATGCTGAGTCAACAAGTCTACAAGTCTGAAAACTGCCCCGTGAAATGAATGAACCAGCAATGATGCATTTTAAAGGTGTAGAATCACGGTGTTCAGTGATATAGAACTGGTATAGATATAAATGCATAAAATAATTCTAATATGATATTAGATGTATACACACTTCTATATAGAACAATGAACACTCAAAGAACCCTATATACATCTCTCTTTGTATAAATATGTATTGTCTTGTAACAAATAGGTGAGAATATTTACAAAGTTATTTTTATAGAAAATAAAAATAATTCTGCTGTTTCCAGACATTTGAGCTGCAGTGTAGTGAACTAAACTGTTATGTAAAATTCAAGCAGTGAATCCTGTTATGGGATGGGTTAGGGTCAGTAAGATCAGGATACAATCTAATTAGATTGAAATGAATTGATAGAATACTTACTAAACCCAGCGGTGATAATATCACTCTATTATTTACATTTAACTTCATAGAGTGTATGTTCACTGCCTCTTACTGTCACATTGTTACTTATTCTCCTTTGTGACCTGATTAAAACTCCTCCAAAAATATTTCAGAATAATACATTGTTGGATAATTTTGCTATTAATTAAAACGCAGGCTCAGTATTCAATTATTACTCTTAAAATGTATTATTCAGAAAGTACCGTGAAACTAAAATGAGTTATGTAATTATGAGAGTGAGGAACTGAAGTGTGGTCTTAAGGGGTTAATTCCTAGCTGACAGAGGGTGATGGTGGGCACACGTGCAGGATTGTGGGCATAGTGCAGTCTTTCTCAGTGGAAATCCCTGATTACTGTAAACAAGTGATGCAGTTGTTTGATGGTGTGGAGCTGGGCTTTCCCTGCTGCAGCACAGATTACAGAGAACAGTCAGTAGAGCAGTCTGCCATAACATGCACAGCTTTGCTCAAACTTTCTGTTAGTCATCTGTGTCCATGGGAACATATAAGAAAGGCTATTACGCTACAGCACACATGGAAGGGGGGGAAAGGGAATTCCACCAATTTTTCAAAATTTCTGCATAATACAATTGTAGACATAGACATGTAATCAATATCAGCCAGTGTGTTTTGATCTGCAAAGGCACATTGTAGAGAAATTTACCTACTCTGCACAGTGGTGGTGATAGGAACCAGGGGTTACAATGTCTACAATGCAAATACAGCATATTTACTATTCAAAAGGCTTGTTTGTGTCTTCTGAGTTTTTGTGTGAAATGCTGATCATGGTAAAATTTTGGTAAATCTGAAAAAAATAAGTTCTTATATACAGTACCTTCCACAGATATTTGCACCCCTGGTAATCATGAGCAAAATGGGTGGTAAAATATTCTTAATTACTTATCCTTTTGATCTTTCATTCAAAATATTAGCAAAAATCGAACTCTTATTTAAGGTATAATGATTGAAAATAAAGATTAAATCTTGTCATAAATTGTTTCTTAAATCTATGTGTATAAATTGTTGGCATCTCTAGAAATTTTTAAGAGTGAAGTTTATATTTCCATTCGTATTTTCTGTTTTAAAAATCCCCTGAGCAATAAAGAACACTTAAATGATCAGCCATGACTTCATATAGGAATATGTATGAGATAACACACGTCAGATTTTCTCAGTCATCCATCACTGTGAGAAAGACCACAGAATACAGCAATGATGTACGACAAATGTTGTTGAGCTGCACGAATCAGGAAATGGCTACAAGAAATTATTATAATGTTGTTACAAACAAGAAGTTATTATAATGCCCATTTCCACTATCAGGGCAATAATCACAAAGTTTAAACAACTGGAGCTGTGAAGAACCTGCCAGGAAGAGAACATATATATACATCTATAGTGACCCCACGCACAGTGAGGAGCATAATTCAAGTGGACAAAGAATCTCTAAGGATCACAGATGGGAAATTGCAGAAATTAGTTAGGTCTTGGGATCAGAATATCTCCCAAACCACGATCATACACCTTCTATATAACCACAAGTTGTTTTGGGGGGGGGTTGCCAGAAGGAGGCCTCTGCTGTCAAGGACCAACAGACTCCAGCTCCTACAGTTTGCCATACATTACTCAACCTTTCAGTTGGGCCGTGTTCTACGGACAGATGAGACCAAAACAGAGGTTTTTGGCAACAAACACCAGAGGTTACTTTAGTGTGCACACAAACATGCCTTGCAGAAAAGTACCCCATCCCCACTGTGAAATATGGTGGTGGATCTGTGATACTGTGGGGCTGTTTTTCTTCCAAAGGCTCTGGACAACTTGTTGCCCGAGTCCCCTGACATAAATCCTATGGGATGAGCTGAAGAGGAGTGTGCAAAGTGTGGACCTCAGAATCTGAAGAATCTGGAGAGGTTCTGTGTGGAGGAATGGTCTCAAATCCTTTGCCATGCGTTCTTCAGTCTCATTAAGCATTGTAAGAGAAGACTCAGAGCTGTTATCTTTGCAAAGTGAGGCTGCACAAAGCATTAAACGAAAAGGTGCCAAGAACTATGGCACACATAGATTTGAGAAAAAAATCAGTGTCATAATAAGATTTTGTTTTCTCTTTTAGTCAGTGCACTTCAAATAAAGGTTAGATTTTTGTAATATTTTGAATAAAAGATCAAAAGGATAAACAGTAAAGAACTTTTTTACAGCCTGTTTTGCTCATGTTTCCCAGGGGCCCCAATATTTGTGGAGGGCACTGTAAATATGACTGAAGTTTTAAAACATACTCACTCTTTGGTACATGCGGTCCATTTAGGAAGTTAGGCTGCAAAAACAACAACTGTTTCTGTGATGTTACAAAAAATAACACATTTACAGATATCCTCCTATTTGGACTACAGGAGGTTGGCTCCATCTATTCACACTAAGGAGCTCTAAGGAGTGTTTCAGCCTGGACTGCTTTTGGAATGTGATTCAATACAGAGCAGCGAATCAGAACACAGGTCGTTTACATATCACTGCTGTCGGAACAAAATCCAGAATAATAACTTTACAGGAGAAGAAAAAAAAAAACATACTTTACTTTTAATTTCAGTCATTGGAACTGGACTTTTTTCCAAGTCATTCTGGGCCATTTCATTTGGTGCGTTCTTCATGAAATTTACACACAATGTAAAGGGCAGCAGGCATTTTCAAATTGTGTCAAAAACTGTAAAATGACAAAAATGGAGAGACGAGGTTTTGTTCCGACAGCAGCGATATGTCGGTCTTAAATGCACAGTAAGAAAAACAGCATATTTAATTCTAAGGGATAAAGAGAGATTGGAAAACAATCATATGAAGAGGAATTATGACATAAAAATAACATACAAAAAGGCAAATGTAGGATAGGGCCATTTAAAAATTCATCCTATTTCCCCAGTTGAAGACCTGTCATTTATGCTATAAATATTCATCAGTAAATACTATGTAAGCTTTGTAGTAGTTAGGGGTTGAAGTGTGGACCCACATACAGGCCCTGAGTATAAGAGGTTAAAATTCTCTAGTCATTCTCTAAGCTGAGAACACCTCCCAGTGTCCAGTTCTACTCTCCAAGTGTCCTTGTGCTGTGAACTACATGCCTAATAAGAAAACTCATTCCTGATGCAAGTAACATGGATGATTTAGCTGTGGTTAATGTTTTTGCGCTCGCTGTCGTCTCACCTCTCGTCAGGTCAGTGAAGATGGCACTGCCTGTGAATAGAAAAATAAAAATTGCTCGGAGCGCCTGTTGGTTCCTCTCTAAGCTCTGTTTACTACTCTGACATGTGGAACTAATTTAGTTTACCCATGTTTGCAGGCAGACTCTCTCTCTCTCACTCTCTCTCTCTCTCTCTCTCTCTGCATCACACTCTATCTCTCTCCAAGCTTCTAAAAGGATTCAGTGAATGGAAAACAGGTGTTAGTCCTCTGGATTCTGTGTACAAATAATCTGCCAACTCCGCCTCTGTGAGTTTGGTTGAACTCCTCTGTGCAGAGAGGCACTGAGAGCCTCTCAGCTGTTCGCTGTGCAGGTGGCACAAAGTCAAAGACTAGCAGGGTGAGGGATTTAATGGCCTAGAACTTGAAGGACAAGCCAAAAGGAAAAAGAGCGTGTAACAAAATGTTGTGTGAAACTCTGTGTTTTTTTAGTTTGTGTTGAATGCGAGTGAGCCTAATCGTTGACACATTGTTGAAAGAATGTTTTTGATTTGTATTTAAGTGTGGATCCTGTTTGTGAGTTGAGGTATCATTTTTTTTTCTGGAATAAATGTGCAAAAAACTGTTTCTTCAGAACCGATTGAATAAACTCATTTCGTTAATCTCTCTCTTCCCCCCCTCCCCCCCTCTCTCTCTTTCACTTTCTCTCTCTGTCTGTCTCTCATTTTTCTTTTTACCCTACCTCTCTCACTCTTTCCCTGTCCTGCTTTCTCCCCCTGTCCTCTCTTAATCTCCATCTCTCTCATCTCATCTCTTCCTTTCTTTCTCCCTCTCTTCTTTTCTCTTTCATCCTTCTCTCTCTTACTTTCTCCCTCTTTTGTTGGATTCTCTCTCTCTTTTTCTTATTTCTGTCTCTCGTTTGATCTCTCTCTCTCTCTCTCTCTCTCTCTCTCTCTCTCTCTCTCTCCCATTTGCTCTCTCTGTCTTTTTCTCTCTCCCTCTTCCCTTCCTTTATCTTTCTCTTTTCTCTCTCTCTCCTTCTACCCCCCCCTCTCTCTCTCTCCTTCTGCCTTTCCTTCCTTTCTCTCTCTCTGTCTCTCCTTTCTCTCTCTCTCTCTCTCTCTCTCTCTCTCTCTCTCTCTACAGGGATCTATCCAGCAGTTGGTGCTGACTCCGGACCCGCGGGCCCCTGATGAGCAGTGTGAGGAGGATGACCCCTATGTGAGTGTCCTGTGGGACGGCTCTGTTTTTTCTGTGTCCTCTCTCACATCCACTTCTTCCCTCTTTGATTTGCCTCCAGAGCTTTGAACTGCTAACATGAAAGTCCAGTATGACAATGTGGAAATGTCTCCCATAAGTTCCTTTTAAAATCCTTATGATTTCACTCTGTTTGCCTATAAAAACTAAAGTATGAACCAGCACGCCGCATGATACATTACGGGATAATTGGCTGATGAGTGGAATCAGATGCATTAGGGAAAGTGCTGGAGAGAGTGCAGTGATGAGGTTTTGCTGTTCTTTTAGTACCACAGAGGACTCTAAAATTGACTTATGGCTCCCTCTAGTGGTTAAAGCTGAGCATTGATGGGTAATGTTTTCACATTTGGGTTTGCCACTGGACATGACAAGTGACTATGAAAAACTTATGTAAAAGATGAGTTGTTTCAAATATTCAGTTACATTTCATATATTTTACCAAAGCTTTTCATATGGCATATCAGGGAATTCACATTAAAAACCAACTCATAGACTGAGGATGACTGTTAGTTTCGTTCCAAAATGCTGTATATCCATTCATAACTAGAAGAGGTTTAGAAAGTGTATCACCTGATGGACCTTTTTTGTGAACAAGTTTATTAGATTTTTTTTTCTCTAATAAAGGTGGTGCTAATGATGATATTGCACTGGTATTTCTTACACATGTAAAGCCCACTCCCAACACCATTTATCTTGAGCAACAAAAAATAAAAGTGCCATTTATTGCGTGCCAGAATTGTTCACAACAACTGTAACATAAACCAGACGTTCAGCTTTTAATCCTTCTAAAATCCCTCGCAGAAAATTAGTGCATAAAATGGTTATAGAAAGATTGTCTGATGTCTGCACTCGAGGGAAAAGAACAACTGTCACTGTGGTGGTAAAGGGTATGTTTTCAATACCTTTAATCTGCGAACATAATTGTACCGTATTCTCTTGCAGCTGCATTGTACAAATCATTGTATAAATCTGAGTCAGTGCGTTTCTCTACAATGAACCATTTCACATTAAACCACTCTGAATGATGCTGTTTACTCTAAACCACTGGAGTAAGTTAATTTTTTTTATTTAATCCCTTTGTCATTATAAATCAGCAAAGAAAACATTCTTGTTCATTAAAAACATTTTCAAAAACAAGATATTGCTAAAGTTTACACAGGCATATGTATATCAATTAACCTCATAAGTTTCCAAGCGTATTACATTGTAAAGTTTATTATTCAGTAATTACAGTAAAATTACAGCAAAACTATGCAAACAAGCTGAGTTAATCTTAAGGTATTGGAGTGATGAATGAAAGCCAGGGCATCTAAAGTCAACCTGATTAAAAATGTCATGTTTTTTGCTTTGTTGGTTCATGTCTCTGGCTATATTAACTACAATTCATCATATCAGTTAAAAGACACAGTTCTTGTTTTGTGTAGTTATTTTGTCCACCTCTGAAATGCCCTCTGATTTTTATTACTATTTATCAGCCACCATCCACCACCCCCACCTATCACCAAGAAAAACGCTCAGCTAGCACAGAGACCCTCCATACTGCATTTCACTAAGAAATACATCACAGTGAGGAAGAGAAATGCATCATGGCTTCCGATTCATGTTGACTTTAAGGGGTTATTGTGGAGAGACTGTGTATGTGCTATTACAGGCGTCCGGGTACGGCAGTGGGGATGACGTTTATGACGACACAGAGACGATGGACGAAGTGAAGAAAGTCGTGGAGGAGAGAAAATACCCCGTGGTGAGCAACAACACACATGTTCACATATCTGAGCTCAGCCGTCTTGGCTGAAAAAACGCAGAGACATCAAAACATTTAAACAGTTCCGTCTTACAACCAGAACAGACAGTTACTGTGAGCCTGCACACACATTTCACTCACACAGGCTCACACACTCTGCTTGGCTGCGCTCTCAGCGAGTCGTGCTGAAACTCGACGAGCATGCCAGCGCTCACACTGCTGGAGTGTCAGAAGGAAAACATTTCCTTCACTGAAAGAGCTCTTTCTGACACACTGAGACGTTCTGCATTTCTTAATAGCTCCGCAGTCTGCCTTTAAAGATAAGAGCGCAGAATTCACTCACTATCGGCGTCCTGACCTCAGAAGTCTGCCTTGTCCTTGAACGACTCTGTGAAAGTCTTTGAAGGCATCCTGGGAGCCTAAACATTGTGATAACGTTGGCATTTCACCAGTACAAATACTTCTCCATTAAAGCGATTTTCTTGGAAATATATATTTGATGAATACTTAAATTTGACCTTCACCAGATTTGCTTTGATGCTGGGATGAGATCCACTTCAAACAGCAGTTTGACTTATAACAGAAATACACACACACATACAGACACCTTCCCATATCCTGCCTCCTCCACTGAACACACACACACACACGCACACACGTTTATTGAAAGTTCTCCGCTCTAGCTTCAGTGATTATGTTCCTGTGCAGTTCCTGTGCTTTGCTGTGTGGTCTAATGGAGGCCAAAGCAGGACGCAGGTCAAAATGACCACTTAACTATAATCTTTATTTATGCAGCACTTTTCCTTTTAGATACAAAACCTGGAAGTGCTTTATGTGGGAAGATTAGCAAAACCTTGGAAAGAAAAGACATCACGGTTCAAATGAAATAACAGCACAGTTACAATCTATACACGGAGACTCTTTTGTGTTTTTAAAGCTGCACTACATGAGATTTGGAGAAATGTGTAATAGCACATAATGTGCAGTTTGTAACGTTGGTTGTATTGCGGACCTCTTCTCTGAGCGGATGAATCTGATGTTTGCAAGCAGGTTTAAAGAGTATTCAGAGAAAACTCAGTCAAAACTTGGTGAAGGATGTGTCTTCCGAGGATGTTTTGCATTCGAGACCTAAACATCAAGCCAGAACTTCTTTCTGAGCCTGTGCATGTGATGTTGCGTAGAAGTTGTATGGCGCGGTCTGAAAAACTCCCACAAAATCTGACAATTTCAGGCTTTACTGGGTGAGTCTCAGCAGGGCATTGATTATTTTTCAGCATATTTTTATTCTCTTGACTCAGTAATGGTACTTCTTTCAGTTTTAACAAGATAATTTTACATAGTTAATCTGGACTTAGTGAGTCTAGGCTCCAGTGAGCAAACCCAACACAAAAGGAGAGCAAACAAGGCTGGTACCAGGTACTGAGTTACAGAGACTGATTGGGTATGGTTGTCAATCAAGGAACTTAGCAGACATTAAGGCATAACCTCTGGAAATAGGGCTGCAGTGCTTACAGTTTGGATGATACAGTTTGGATGCTGTGAAGAGCTAGTGTCTCTGAAGGTTGACACCTATACCTATTAACCTTGTTAGATCTAACAAACAGCTTCTCATAGTTGCACAGAAAAGATTCTCTGAGTGCTTTATGGATTCAGAGCAAAACTAAACAGCTATTTGGCTGCAATTTTACAGAAAAATGTTTTCATTGATTAAGATCGAGCGCATTTTCAAAGATGCTATGCAATCTTTTGATCGGTGCCTCAAAAGTTCATTTGAGCAAACTGCCTATTACTCAGTTCTCTGCTCTTCCGCTCACAGCCTGAGGAAGACGAGACTATTCCTGTCAGAGCGCCCCCTACTGAAGCATCCTCTGAAGCTCCACTTGATGATGAGGACCTGGAGGAGGGGTCCTCTGGTCAGGAGATCGAGATCGTCACTGAGAAGAGTGAGTTAGCTCATCTTTAAGCGTAAAGTGTCATGTAAAGAACTGAAGTTTTCTACAGCTACATCCACTAATTAAACAAATTGTCCAAGAACCTGTAGTTAAAGAAAACCTGGACAAATGAAAGTGATGTACTGGAGACATTGTTTAGAGTTTATTTAGAGGCCTTATTCACCAACTGGTCTTATACCCACAAATGTGTGTTTTTACAAAAATTCTGACATTCACCAATATTTTCTTATTTGGGATTTGTTCTTAAGCTTTATTTATTTCTTGTTTGTGTGCAGCTCTGTTTTATAACATCTATTAAATTAAGCACTTCCCCATCAAGTCTGTTAAAAGATTTCATTATTCTTTGTTTTTGTTTGAATGCACAGAGCCAACCAGGACAGAGGAAGCCGTATATCAAAAAGGAGATGTAAGGAGAAACATTTTGTTATTATGACTTCCAGTTATTGTTGTGTTAATTTATTTCATGTGGAACAGAAACCATATTTTTGTATTACATATTGACATATTGATTTAATTCTGTCACATCAGTCTAGGAACTAGTGCTGTCTGCTTTTTTTGCATATCGGGTCCATTATTTTGTTTGTCCTTTGGTCATGGATAGGAATATCCACTGATGATGCCAGGACAGAAAGGAGAGAAAGGAGATCCTGGACCTCCAGGACCTCCAGGACCTCCAGGCACATCAAGCCCATCTAGCCCAAGAGGAGACAACTCAGCTTGGTTTGGACAGCCAGGTCCCCAGGGCCCTCAGGGACCACCAGGACCTCCTGGAGTTCCAGGGAAGGACGGCCTGCCAGTAAGTGCACCTTAACCTGGAACTCACTTATCTTCAGAATTGAACTGCCCTCCTTATTGTGAAAATGGGCCTCATTCACTGATACCTACCTTAAATGTGTTCAAGAGAAAGGACCTAAGAAAAAGTTGACATCAGATTTACGACGTTTATGATATACTGCAGAATCATTCACACCTTTGTGCTCCTGAGTGTGTGTAGATTCTGTTCTTACCTAACAACAAATCCCATATAAGAAAACACCGGTGAATCTCAGGATCTTCATGTAAACTGTGTAAGAAAAAAATTTCTTCTCAAGAACAGTTGGTATTGGAATGAGGCCCAATGTTTTAAGGGAGTTAAGAGATATTAAACACTGAGCACGTCACAAAATAAATTGACACCCATTCTAATTATTGTTGTGTTAAAAACATTTCTCTTCCCGTAAATTCAACTTGATCTTGTAAATCTGAGCTGCTGAAGTGATGCTTTCTTGGGTCTCACCACGGTGTCTTAGTACTGCTGTCATGCCACACCACATCTGACTGTTTCTGCTTAGCTTTTCACCAAACATGCTGAACTCTTTGGCAGATGATTAAACCTTTTTTGCTCAATTCATAACACCCATCTCTTCTGCTTCACTGGCTCGTTTGGCAGCTCAGTCACCAACAAGCTTTGTTTTTCAGCAGTCTGTTGTTTTGAGAGTCATACGAGGATTAAGCCCGGTTTTGTTTTGTTGATCAGAGGGCTTTCACCTCATTTAAGAGCTTGTCATTACCTTGTAAAGTAGATCTTTGAATTCAATAGTTTGAAAGTGGGTTTGCCAATCTCATATTTCTCCATAATGTAAGACTGGGTTTAGTCAGCTGTTTGTTCTCAGCAATAATTTGTTGGCAGCAACGTTAGCGGTATGTTGTGGTGTTATACAATTCCTTGCATTAAAGTCTACATACTCAGACAGTAATAATTAGCCATATCCTCCATTGCACCTGTTTATATTAAGCTACAGATGTGCCGTATCTTCTTGATATTTTAGGCCTTTAGACTTTTGCCATAATGGATCTCTTCTGACACACTCCAAAAGAATAGATTGTTTTATGAACATAATTTAATTATTAATGATGCACCAAAATGAAAATTCTTGGTAGAAATGGAAACTTAAATTTAGGACATTGTCATTAAATTAACCAGTTATATTCATAATGATTTTACTAAAATTATTGCAGTATATAGGCTACAGTAAGACTGTGAAATTCAGTGCCTGCACTGTTGTTTTGTTGTTTGTCAATTCATCTGTCAATTCATGCAGCTGTGACTTTCTTTTCTGCTTCTGTTGTTTTGCTGTATTCTGCATATCGAACAGGAAGTTATGTTTTCAACTGGTATTAAACCTGTAACCTAGACGTTTTTGGGTGTACCCCCTCTTAATATTTACAATGAACATTATAATGAGATTATAACTCGCTCGTCTAATGTCCCTTGTAGAAACTGGGAGACAGTTCCACATGGCTGATATTTGCACTGTTGATCCACTGCTGCTCAAACTGTTTCAATGTGTCTTCACTGAGCAGCACAGCAAAAGAAACAGCACTTCTTATCATTGTTTCTCATTTTCTTTACTATTTAATTTTTAATGAAGTCTTAGATTTTGGCACTTGTTTAATCTTTGTTTGTTTATTACTCTTTTGCCCAAAAACCAAAAATGCAATTTATGACTATTTTTGTCTGAAAATATTCGGTGGCTGAAATTTTAATGCATATCTATTAATTATGCCACACATTTCCATTCAGTTGAATGGAGTAGAGTCAGACATATATGGCCTTTTACGCAAACATGAAATGTATTTGCAATTATTGTTGATGATTTTCAGTTTGTAAATCAAACAATTCTCTTGGCTCATGTTTTTGAATGCGGAAAATGTGTGATTTTGGAAAACCGTACATTTCAGGATGTTTCATTATGTCCTAAATATATGTGTATCAGTCTGTTCATCTTCTGAATTCAGAATTAATGTGGAAATTATTTGTTTTTCAGGGTAGCCGTGGAAATGATGGAGCACCAGTAAGTATTATTTGATCTCTCGTTCCTGTCTTGTGACGTCAGTGTTGTGTTCGTATGCGGATGTGTTTATGTTTAAAGAAAATCGTGAGATGTGGGGTGCCAGGCTGTGACTGAGTCATTGCAACTGTGAAAGAACACCAAAGAGTTCCACCAAAGTTTTTCCCACCGTGATATTTTTACCACTTTCACTAACTTTGATTGCCAGAATGATTGCTCAACATGAGGACATATATTCTTTACTCTATGTACTATCAAATAAACTGTGTTTATTCACACCATACCAACCAAACCACCTCAAACTTCACATATAGTTCCACATATGTGCTGCAGAGCTGACTTCCAAGCCAAAAAAGTGCATGGAAATGTTTTGTGAAATGAGGGGAGCAGAATAACTCTGGATGCAGCCCCATTATTGGTTAGGCATGGCTGGTTGATTGGAGAGTAAAGTATAACCAAACAGCACACACAGAGAAGCAAGCGAGGCTTCAGTGGTGGTCTCAGAGCCTTTCATCTGTCTGTAGGTTTGATTGGGGGATAATAGCAGCACCTGCCTCCACACCTGTGTGCCTGATTAAACTAAATCCAGCACTGTGACCTGCTTTTCTCCCTTTTCAAAATAAGAGGTTCACTTCTCACATATGGGGTACATCTGTGTGAGTGTGTATGTGGTGTTAAACTGCTCAGTGGAGTTAAATTGTGTAATATTTAAACATATATCTTGCTGTTTTCCTGCAGGGTGAGACTGGAACTCAAGGATTTCCGGGCTTACCAGGTGATCCAGGCCTCAAAGGTGAAAAGGTAAAAACTACCACACTATACACTTTGTACACTTGAGCATGGCCATGCGTATATCATATGGCATGGTGAGGTTCCAACTATGACCATACAACCCTGAGAAGCTGTTTTTGCTGTATTTTACTGTTGTTTTTCTCTCAAATTCAAATTGAATTGCACAGCTTATTACATAGTTATTTGCACAATGAATTATATTTACATTCAAGCATTCTGCATTGACAAGTTTGAGTCTGCACTGTAAAGGATGGTTTTCTTTTTGCAAAACAAGACCGAGCACAGTAAAAATAACTTCTTCAAATCCAAATCATGTTGAAACATCTCTTCTACTTATGAAAACAAATTGTGGTATTGATTGATAGGTTAGAATTCACATGTTCATCAGAATTTCTATACTTTTTTAAATGAACAACAAGTAAAAAACAATTAATATCAGCTTAAACCATGCTTTGGTTATTTCCAGTGATGATGGGGATTTTTAAGGGTTAAATGGGAAAACCCAGCGTACTGATAAGTTTTGTTTTTAGGGTGATCCTGGAGTTGGTCTGCCTGGGCTTCCTGGACCTCCTGGACCACCAGGGCGATCAGCAGGGTTTCGATATGTGGTACGTTCTTGATCTTGTCTAAGGCCAGATATCAGGCAAGTGTGTGAAAAAGGGAATCCAAACAGTAACCTTGGTTTTTCCATCAGACAGATACACAGGCCACAGATGTTTTATGCTATTACCCTCAAAAAAGTAAAGTTCAAGTCGATTCGTTCAAATACAGTCAACCTTTGAAATATTACATTAATACTTGAAATATTCCAAAAAAAATTATATGTATATAGACACCTGGCAGCTTTTCTTTTCTTTCTTTCTGTGGGGCTCAGAGTGCACATTACTTCGCAGTGCATGCTGGGAACTGTAGTGCAGCGCATTGCGAAAGGGGCTAATATCAATAGAAGGCATAGCAGACTGGATAGGATTGTGCCACAGGCCTGACGTAGCCTGCAGGTCCTGTGTTTGACACATGGGATCTAGACAGCTGTTTTTTTTATTAAGCTACTCCTTTAAGGATTGTCACTGATGTGTCTTGAGGTAAGATCATTGTCATATTTCTCTTTACACAGGATGCTATTGATGGCTCAGGATTTGAGGACTTTGACAGTGACACTGAAGTCATCAGGGTGAGTTTTCTTTATCTCATCAAATGACATAAACATTTTTGATAATGTAAATATAAAATAAACATATCAAGATGTAATGCAAAAACACAACACAACACTAAAGTAAATTCTAAAATACTACCTGATAAGAAAACAATTCAAGACTTGCAGGCCTAGTGAATACTTTCTGACCTTGGTGTGTCTTTTCCAGGGTCCACCGGGTCCTCCAGGGCCTCCAGGGAAGCCTGGCCCTCCTGGCCCTGCTGTAGGTCTCTCTCCAGGGCCAACAGGGCCTCCAGGAGCACCTGGAAAAGATGGGAAGGATGGGGAGATGGGTAAACCTGGAATTCCAGTGAGTATTCTTCTGCATGTTGTGTGGAAAATATAATGCCTCTTTGTTTAAAACCTTTGATGAGAGTTAATCAGATTAAAGCAATAGTTCAGCCCAAAACCCCATTTGTACAGTTTTCCAGTTCCCCTTAATGTAGCTAACATTTACTGGAAGTCTATGACTAGAGTGGTCCAATTTTACCTGGAGAGGAGCATCTAGCTGGAGCGTTGGGGTTTCTCTCTCGCTCCAAGATCCTTCTGATACCACTACATCCCACAAGCATAATGTTCTAAGTTCCTCAGCTCAGCTATTGTTATGCTGTTGATAATAAGCCTGTTTGGTTTAACTTCATCTCCTAGTTCTGTGCCTCCAATACTGCATTACATTACTCTCATTCTATATAAAATGTATGTCTCCTCAATGAAAAGACTATTTAAACATTTGAAAGAGGCAATGTATGCGTAAAGTGATATGACAAACAGAAAAGACATTTGCACCTGAATTCGCACTCGGACTCTCCAGTCTCCTGAAACTGTTGCATATGACTGTATAGCATGTGCAAAGTCTTCATCCAAAGAGAGCCTCAAATCTCAAAATGGCTTAATGTGGCCATGGATATGAGCCCAGCAGTGTCATCAATGTAGGTAACATTAGGTAATATTACCTACATCAACGAAGGCAACAGTTACAACAGTTACACAGCTAAACAGCTAAACACCATTACACACTAGGTTTTCACCATAGTTCACACATTGCATTGAAAGTTTTGGTGAAGCTGAGTCAGCGTGTGTTTGCACTGTTGAATAAGTGCTGTGTTGAGCTGAAATAAGCTGAAATAATGCTGTCTTAGCTGAAATAATGCTGTGTTTCAGGTAATTGAGGACTGGTTTAGTGGTTCTGGATTTGATGCTGGTTCTGGATTTGATGCTGGTTCTGGATTTGATGCTGGTTCTGCATTTGATGTTGAGTCTGGAATTGAGGCTGGGTCTGCATTTGAGCTTGGCTCAGAGAAGGACTTAGCCGAGGTATAGAGTCTGGTCCTGGCTGGTAAATTAAAGCCAAAGGCCACAAAAGGCAGGATTTCCCCTCAACATGTTCCGCTCGCATGCATCTTACAGTAACCCTCAGCCTTTAGCATCCAGCCTCTGGTTGACTAACTGCTTTGGCTATTATCTGTTGCTTATGTGTGTGTGTGTGTGTTTGTGTGTGGTGTCAGTTTTGTATGGATTAGTGGAACTGAAACGAAATAGAAGTTTCTGAATATACAGTATGAAGGAAATATGAATATAATGTTTTTATATCAATGCAGGGATTTGCAAAGGAAACAATAGCACTGAATGAGTTGCCCTCTTTAGGAAAATATGCTATGAACAGTTTATATGACATACTGACGGCAAACATGTTATTATAAACATAAACTATAATTATAATTGTTTGATAGCACTGGTGCATGTATAGTTAGTAATCATGGGCATTTCTATTCTTTTTAAGAAAAGAAAGAAAATTGGAAAACGGATGGTTTGTGCTCACTTTTTGTTTTAGTTTGTCAGATAATATTGTCAGCTTCTGCTTTACTCCACTGCTGCGGCAGAAGTTTTGATAGAACGCTCCACGTACGCTGTGGTCAGCGGAACATTGTCACTCGAGGTGGAAGAATTTTTCATTGCTCCATTGAAAACAAGAAAATATGCAATTTTCTGCAGTCCATCTACCACCAACATGTAGTGCCGCATAACTGTAATGTCTGGTTTAGTTATATAAAATAATGAGTTGATCCATCGAGTTTTGACCTGTCTTACGCTCACTGCACTTCATAGATTGGTGCAGAGGTCATCAACTTCACATCTTGAATCGAGCTTCCAGTCCTGGATTTTATAATCACTGGTAGATATGACTCTTGGTGGTCAATCAGTTACATCAACAGTTCAGTTACCAACCATTGAATACAAAATCAATGACTAGAAACTAGATTCAAGGACTGGAGATGAGATTCTCTGCAAGTTTCAAAGGGCAAAGAAGTAAAATAACCAGTTACAGGTACCAGTAGTGACCATAACATACATTGGCTATTGTTACTGATCCCATTTTCATATATATATTTCAATCCTAGCATTAGTACACACATCTTCAACATGGGCTTATCCAGGCTAGGCCGTCTTCTAGAAAGGCTACACTATGACAGAACATCTCCAGAGCTGTTCCATCTCAGTGCCTGACACAGAGTCTGAATGGATAGATTCATCAGAGCAATAGAGAGGCCAGAATAGAATGCACATGGGGCTTTTAACAAGCTGTTCTTTGCTTTCTAGGAAAAAAAGGTCACTTAGTAAGCATGAGAACAAGACATTTTATGTTTTTCTAATTGTGGGTCAAAAGGTTTATACTTGTTTATGTTTGTCATGATTTAAGATTGTCAATTTGACCTTGCGGAACACTCGAATTAGCGATACATTGACCAGAGCTCCACTAAGTACTCTGTGTAGTTTTCCCTGTCGGATGTTTTTGCAGTGACTCATGTGACATGTGTAGTAGTTTATCTTACAGCTGTCTCACACAAATACAAAGGCACAAGTACATGTGCGCTCATTGTCAAGTTCACTCTAAATGTGACTGAGAAAAACTCCTCTAGTTGTGTGGTCTGTTCAGCAGGCACACCGGCTGCAACTGCCCTTTGAATGTGTACACAATTTTGACATCTTAACTCCACAGCCTGGCCATTGGACCTTCATGATTGAGGGTATCAGATTGACATCTTAAAATGTGTTTGGCTGTTTGCCTAGAGGGATGGAGGTTGTACTGTCTTGCTGCAGAGATATTCTGCCCATTTTTGTAAAAAGATGTGTGATTTTGTGTTTGTTCAGTATGAAAATTTAGAGTAGCACCAGTTTAATTTACTATTTATTACTGCAGTTCCTTAAAGATTTGAGGTTGAACTGCTTTTTTATGTTTAGTCTGGGATTACTCTGCCTTAGAAACTGTTATTACAAGTGCTTTAAATACTGCACATGTAAGGGCTACATGTTAAGTAATGTGCATATTAATATTTTGCAAGTGTTAAAACAGGCCAGATCAAAGTAATTGTTCCCAAATGTTTTACTTCTCGTGAGAGGGAGTGGAAAGGAGAGAGACTTTTCTCAGGCCAATCAGATACTGATTTAATCCTGTAAGCTTTTGTAAGATGTACGTTTGCCCACAAAGTGCTGAATCTACTGTAAACCTGTCAGCTGAAGGAACGTTGAGGAGACTGATCAAAAGATCAAACCTGTTGCTGAAAAAGGAACTGAAAGAGCTTCACTGCAATCTGATCAGTGAGTGTGTGCGGGTGTGTGTGTGAGCTGATCTTACTGAAACCAAACGCGTCTCAAGGAACATGAACGTCAGTGTGTCATTGAGGGGAAGCTGCCTTTTATGTATAAATTCTACTGAAGCTACAACTAACTGCTCAGTCACCTCTCAAACAGCAATGCAAATACTTTTATTTACTTTGCTGATAACATAAAAAGCAAAGGCAAAAATCCATTCATTCACGATGAAAAAACCTTTTTTGCTCATGTGGATTTCTCTTTTGAAAAACAGGAATATTTTAAAATATTCCAAACTTGGCTTTTGGGCCTTTGCTGTCTGTATATTGTTCTAACAGCACCATGGCAACCAATTCTAATACCATAGCATCCACATAGCAACACCCTAGCACTCACCTGGGATAACATATAAATCACTGAGCAATACTCTAGCAACCTCTTGAAACTCTATAGCAACTTCCTAGTAACAACCTAGCAACCATCTAAAATATCATAGCAACTGCTCAGCAACACCCTATTAACCATGTGTAATAACATATAAACTGCTTAGCAACATCCCATCAATCATCTGGAATAGAATAGGAACCATCTAGTAATACCCTAGCAATCACCTTGTATGTCTTAGCAATCTCTTGGGAACACCCTAGCAACCATCTAAATACCAAAGCAACCTCCTAGAAATACCATACCAACCACCTATGAACATCTTAGCAATGCCCTAGCAAGCAGCTGGAATAGCAATAGCAGCTGCATATCATGTTTGGAATATGATAGCAGCCACCCAGAAATCATAGAAATCAACTAGCAACAACTTTGCAACCACCTAGCAACACACTAGCAACCACCTTGCATTTGTTAGCAACTGCTAACGCACCTTGAATAATAAACAACACCCTAGCAATGACATGGGAGAACATAGCAACTACCTAGCAACGCCCTAGAAACCACCTAAATACCATAGCACCTAGCAACACCCTAGGAACAACCCAGCAGCTTTCAGGGCCATAGCAATGACATAGCAACACCTTAGCAACAGTCTAGCAACCACCTGGGATAACAAACACCTAGCAACACGCTAACTGTCTAGCAGTGCCCTAGAACCAGTTGAAATACAATAGCAAGGGCTTGTTGGAATACACTTGCAGCCACCCAGAATAACACTGAAACCAGATAGCAACACCTTTGCAACCACCTGAAATACCATAGCAAATGCTGTTTAAACAATGAAACAGCAAAAATAACCCCTTTAACTTAATAACCCCAAAACAACTGTGTAGACACAGCATAAACAACCCACTACCTTCAAGCATTCAGTGCTATAAACACCCAAGTAAGTTAAAAACGGGCTACAACTGCTGTAATTTTCACTGTTAGCTGTCTGTGTCAAGCTAATGTAAACATTGTACACACATTTTCCCCTTCTATGAATAGTTTTAAGCTATTGTAGACATATCATTGCTTAAAAAAGTAGAAGGAAAGATTTGTGTCATTTAGATCAGTGAAATGATCAGATATTGGTTATGTGAAGGAAAATGACACTGACTACCTGCCTCCCTTTGGGTTGCCAAATCTGATAAATAAAATAAAAAATGGTTAAAACTTTTTAAATTTTTTTAAACTAGGTCTAACAGTGTCTTAATTTCCACTCTTTGTTGAAGTGCTCTCTGGAAACATACCATATAAGCAAACTAACACATTTCAGATTATACAGTCTTGGTGAAGGCCAGAGCTTTGCTGTTGCGTGAGTAGAGGTGCTGATCCTGTTGTGATGGCTCTTATAGGGTGCTGATGGCAGGAATGGCGAACCAGGAAAAGATGGTGCAAAAGGCGAGAAGGTAAATTGTACACGACAGTTGAATCCTGGACTAATTCATGTTAGTTCTGTTTTGTGATGGTTCCTTTGTATGTCTATAAAATCTAACTGGTGGTTTTATTGACAGGGTGAAACAGGGTTGCCTGGACTAGCAGGACAGAAGGTGATGTCTGCATGCCGTCCTTCTTAGTTCACTTTGTCTCTATTTGCATATAGTAAAGCATTTAACTGACCTTTCACTCTGATGTGACACATATTGACTGTCCAAAACAGTTTTGTTCAAGGCTTTTTCTTTCTCTCTCAGGGTGACCCAGGCCAGCCAGGTGTTCCAGGACTGCCAGGGCCTGTAGGATCTGAAGGCCTAAAGGGGCAGCCAGGCCCTCCAGGACCCCCCGGGCCACCAGGCCCGCCTGCACGCTTCAGCTTTGATGCACTGGTAAATTTCAGACTGGGCTTAAGTTAAAGTATATCCCAGGGTTACTTGTTGGAAGATACCATGTGTTACTTCTAAGATCCACCAGAGGCCACTATTATCACTTTTCTTCTTTTTTGAATAACATCACTGCCAAACAAAACCAGACACTTCAAAACACAACATTTAGCTTTCAAGACAGCTCATTTATCATTCAGTGTTGAATGTGCCTTCATCGTTTGAACATTTGTAAAAAAATCTGAGGAAACAATTTTTGGATTGGTCACGCAAACAATCTCAGAATTACATCTAACTTTGCCTAAACCAAAATCATATCATATGATTAATGAACGCATCATGGCCAAAGACAAGGCATTGTACATTCATGTGTGTTACTGCAGGATTCTGAGGGTTCTGGAGTGGATGGAGGCAGTGGTTTTGGGCCCATGCTCCCTAGAGGGCCACCAGTGAGTTATTTTTCCATAGATGGATGAACTCTTTTTTTTGCTTGGAATTTGTAAAGTTTGATGTTTGCAAAAATAAACGCTGCTTCAAATGTTCTCTCTCCTACCATGCAGGGTCTTCCAGGTCTACCTGGCCCTCCAGGACCACAGGTGGGTGTACATATACAATACACCTGGTCCAAAACAGCATTTTACAGACTTCAAATATTTGTTGATATTTCTCAATGAGTACTTGAATGTTGTTTCTCTAAAGAACAAAAAGGAATAACAAAAGCAATAATATTTCAATAATAAAAATAATTATTTTGAATAATAAACACAATCATTCTTCAGTTGTCTGTCTGACAACACATATATATGTTTCCATATATGTTTTTTGCGTTAATTTTTTGGTCATGCTGCTCTAGACGTCTGTCTTACATTTACATTTACGGCATTTGGCAGACGCTCTTATCCAGAGCCACTTACAGTTTGATCATTTTACACAGGTAGGCAAAGGTAGTGTTAGGAGTCTTGCCCAAGGACTCCGGTCGAATCGCCCATTTCCACTTTCTACAGCATTCTAAACTTTATTTAAAATAATAATTGACTAAAATGTGCTGATTTTGTGGTAGTTGCAGATCAGCTCCTGAGCTATACTAACTTAACTAAGTAAGAAAAATGATTGTGATTTTGTCACAGTAAACAGATCTGCTGTACTATATTTGAGATAGTGTACTAGTTTACTAACATTTTTTTTTGATAAAATTAATCTCAAAAGACTTTTTTTTTAATTTATCAAACTTGTTGAGCATACTGTCTTTTTTTTGTAAATTTTTCACATAACATTTTTCTAGTAGTCTGATAAATTAAAGTGCTCCCAATATATTTAAATTATTCTGGCCAGCCCTGAGTGCTAACTGCCTTTTGTATTTTTCAGGGCAAAGATGGTGTGAATGGTCTTCCAGGAACTTCAGTGAAGGTTAGATTCATTTTTGTATAACCATTTGCCATTTTTTATAACTTAGAAATAAACTGATGACTGATGTACATAACTGTGCTCTGTTCTAATTGGATGCCTAGTATTGTACCTCATTCGAAATGCAGACCAAGCTGAAACACTCCTCTTAACCTCTGAGAGAGTGAGCAGAGGAAACTGTTGAAGGCTGAATAGAGGGGTAAATGTAAATGTGTTGGATTTTGTAACATCACAGAAATTAAAAACAGGTGAATTTTGCAGCACAGTGTCCGTATATGGACTGTAGGCACTGGGGAGTGAACATTGAAATGTTACCATGTTTATGTTTAAGTTACCATATGTTACCATACTCCATAAAACATATATTTTTATGTGAACATTTCAATGGAAATATAATTTACTGTGAACTGTCATAAATGGATGTATCAGTGTAATTATTCATTACTTTACAATCATTAACATGCTCATTAAACACACTTAAATATGGATTTTTTTTGCTAATTTTAGTGCAAAATGTCTCATTTTTAACATATTAGAGGGAAACAAAATGTAAAGTGTGCCATAACTTTTGCACAGGCCCCATTTTATGCTTAATTTTTCCTAATATGTCAAATTCAGCAAGAAATTTTGCACTCAAATATACAGAAGTGTGTTCTCTGTAGAGGATGTGTTAACTTATTTTCAACAAAACGTAATTTTACCGGGGGCACCCAAACTTTTGCATATGACTGTAAAAGGACATATCAGTGTCCATTAATGTACACCTGCCTTTGCTATGCTGCCTTCTCGTTCAGTGATTTGCACAGCTTTGATAAATCTGACTGGAGATTTTCATTTGGCTCCTTTTTATGTTCAAACCTACAACATGCTTGCGTTTGATCGTATTTGATGAATGAGGCCCACTGTTTCCCGTTCCTGGTTGCCAGAGCAAGCCTGCTGTTCCCGCCCATTTGCTTCCCATTAGGATTTAATTTACCAAATAATTCCTCCACTACACATCTGTTGGGGTCAATGGAACTCACCACACGCATCTTCCTTCATGTATGTGCAGTCTACCTTCATACGAGGGCACACTGTTTCTGACCCACAGTGCTTTAGTCTGGTGATGGCTGTAATGTAATACCAAAGACCTGACAAGCTCTTCATTTCATCTCATTTGTGTCACTTGATAGAAAATGAAATTAATGTGTATAAGCACCACTAAAGTATCCCAGAAACCAGAACAGTCCAGATTTTCACACAACACACAGATGTACCACTATTTTTAGAGTTCCCACTGAGCGCACACAGCGTTTCCTTTATATGCAATATTTTGCCACTCAATATTTTGTCAACATGTTTCCCTTATACGACTACCAGGTATTTAAAATTGACATCAATTTAATCCACATGTCATGATCATTTCTTAATTTAGAAAAGCATAGGACGTGTGTTTGACATACTGTCAACTGATGGACATTTTTCCTTCAATCCTGTAGGGGGATCCTGGGCCTAGAGGACCTGATGGGTTACCCGGATCACCTGGACTTCCTGGAAGAAACGTAAGTATTTCATGAACTGTTTAAACCCTTTCAATTCAACAGTTAAAGTTTTTTTCCTTCCATCTTCATGTATCACGAATAGTTTGACTCTATTAATATAAAGCATAAGATTGTGATGCTTTTACCAGCATTTAATATCATATTGTACCCCGCTGAGGGGCTTTTCAGTCTCATCCACAGACCACCTGTCATAAAATTAATAAAACATGTTTTAAAAAAGACCCAGAGAGCCAAACTGTGATTATAGGATTTATTGTAACCCTTTTATGGTCCCCTAAGTTCTGGGTATTAACCAGGTAAGTGTGAGGTACAGATATGAAGTACTAGATAATTATTTTGGGTAACATGATGGTGAGTTCTGAGGCAGAAACTAAATGACAGTGAAATCAATAACAGGTTCTAGATATTAAGCTGATAAAGATCATAGAAAATATCTCATAAATATTTAGATCAAGAAGTGGAACATTTAAACATACAGTAAATTTCAATATAATATCACAGATTTACGCAGGAAAGTAAATTAGAAACACCACCAAGTATCAGGTAGTTATATGGCCTAAAATGATGGCACAAAATATGGAGAAGAACCCAGTAAAACTATACCAAGAATCACTGCTTTCTTCAACAGTCTACATTTTATTTATAGATAATATACAGTTATGTACCATTTAAGACTGTTTGAACTTAATCTGTGTATACATTTTATCCAAAATAATTACACAGTATTGTGGAGATTGTGTACTTCACACTTACCCAGTGAATATCTAGAACATGATGGGCATTTCAGTGTAATTTAGTTAGACAGGCTTGGAACTTACTATCACCCAAATGAATCTAGTACCTAGTTTGTACCTCACACTAACATGGTTAATACCTACACTATAAAACCTGGTGAGTTAAGTAAACTCAAATGGTTTAAGGAAAATAATCGCCTAAACCATTTCAGTTTAAGGAACTAAAATAGTTTGACAATAAATAATTTTCTGAACTGAGTATGAACCAAGCACATGTTATATATATAACATATATAAGTTGTATACTTAATAAATCAAGTAAATCACACTCCAATCAAACTCCATTCATGTTGTCGATCTTAAAATGTTTATTTTGGACGTACGTGTAATAGTTGTACTAACACAATACAAGTCATTAATTGTAACTCACTGAATTTATGTCACAATGACTTAAATTCACTGCCTTTACAAAAATCTTGCCACTCGAAAACTTAAAACTACTCTGGATCATTTTGCCAAATGCTGACCAATCAGCCCAGAGTGCAGAAGTAGTCACTGCAGTGTCCAGCCATCACAGAACCATGCTCAGCAGGTGGGAACCTGAACCTCAGCTCATTCAGCTCTGATTTTAATAAACCAAAATAAGATACAGAACACTTCATCAGCTCAACTGCTGAATCAAAAATACTTAGAACATGTTTCACTTGTGCTGAGGCAGCTGGCTGCTCCATATAGGCAACAATACTATTTCATGTATTTGGCAGCCATCACTTAATGTTGGTCATTCTAATTACACTAAAACTAGGACTAGTGCATGGAGTGAACAGCCAAGTCTCAAATTAACTGAGTTACTGTCTCAACGATTCATTGTTCAGCATAAGTAACAATTTCCTATAGTACTTAATTTGTGTTAATTCTTTCAGATGTTAGGTTTTACAGTATAGAACTTAAAGGACTGTACAAGAAAGCATTACTGGATTTATTTGCAATTTAGGGGACTTTCTTTCTCTACATCTAACCCCAATACTGCATTTTCACCTGTTCTCCAATGATATACTGATGTACTGTACCAAATATTCAAAGATTGATATATTCTAATTTCTTTCTGTGTTTCTTTCAGGGAGAGAAAGGAGAGAAAGGTGATCTGGGTCTGAAGGTAGGGTACCTGAATCCGTGCATAGCCTGAATGTTACTGTCTGTGGCTGCCAGTCGCACGCCTCTGAATGTGTAAAACTAAACGTCTGTGTTTGTGTGTTGGGATGCAGGGAGAGAGAGGTCAAGATGGAGTCGGTCTTCCTGGTCCACCAGGACCACCCGGACCACCAGGGCCTGTCATCAACCTTCAGGACGTGAGTTAAACGTGTTGGAATAGAAATTTGCAAAGAGTACTACATTACAGATTAATGATTACTTCTCTTAAACAGGTGTGGAATTATTTTAGTTATTTCTGCCTGGAAAAAGAAATCTCACTGCACATTACTTTACTTCTGTGTTACTCTCTAAAACCCTTATGAACTGGGAAGTACAAGGGAAAACACTTTTTCAGTCATTCATTTAGAAAGAGTCAATCAAAAGGCTTGTCAGTATCTCTGTCGTTACTCTGAACAAGACACAGTTAGTTATGCTTAGTTAAAATCATGAACAGTTAATTCTGTTTGAAAACCCAAAACATACTAGTAGAAACACTCCAAAAACAACTGCGCAGAAATAAAATCTTTCTGATTCTGAAGAGTCTGATGGGTTCAGGGGAGATTGGAGAGCTCTCTACTTCAGCATGGGGATCTTTATCCATCAGTTTCATATTAGTGTGATTAGATGCTTCTACTGTTGTTCGCTGAATTTATAGCTCTTCCTGCGGTTGTGCTGTGCTGCTTGTATTCGCAATCAAAGTTGCATACAAACACAGGACTCTATAATCTGTATGGAGGAAATGTATGTTTTTAATGCATTGGCTGTAATTAATATTGCTCTGTTAGACACAACTATTTTATGATTACAAGAATTTATACTGCAATGCTGTGTCACTCCCAACACTGAGAATGAATACATTTAACATCGTTTAAATAAGGCTATACATCTCTGACATCACAAGGATATGATTCAGTTATTTTAGGAAATGATGTAGTGAAACCACAGGTTATTTAGGATTCTGAATTAGTTAAACAAATACACTGAATACACAGATGTAACTGGAGGAACTGAAGGAGCAGGGATTCAGCCCAGCGTCCATAACAGTTTTGATGATTCCCACTTAATTCAACTATTCTATCTAATCTATGAATTACCAGGTTTAGTGGGTGTGGTTAACTAGGGGAATAATCACCTTCATGTTCAGATCAATACACAGTGCATTTTTACAGCCCTAGCTTCTACACCTCAGTAGGCACACAACTGTTAATTAAGTAGTAATTACTTTTTATCTGCTTTGTTTACTTCCTAGTTAATGCTGAATGACACAGAGGGCCTCTTCAACTTCTCAGGGACTTTTGAACCCCAGGGGCCATTGGTGAGTAACGTGTTTATCATGAGTTATCTCCAGAATTCATTTTTAGGTCTGTCACAATCATGAATGATGTGGTATAATAGGCTTTTAATGCATTTCTAGCATCATTCTGTGGACTTTTCAGAACAAAACTCGGGCTTGAAGCATCAGATTTGTGTTGTGTTTAGGGGTGTGTGGTGTATCAGTGGTGCATATATTTTCGCTGATGGAAAGGAAAATTAATATTGGAATAATGGATCTGGAATTACAGCCGATAATCATAGCAAATAAATGGGCTCACACACTGATGCATGCATGGTCACTAATGGTGAGCTTTTCTGTTCTTTTCAAAGATTTTTTTAAAGTTCCACAACAAATTGTTAATTATCGGTTATCACTATCAGCCTGGAAATATCCATATCAGTCTCAAATTGTGTTAGTATTAGGGCTGAACAATTCGGGACAAATGGACTCATATTGCAGTTTAAATGTGATTATTTTCTCTAAATTAAGCTCCAGTATATCCCTTTTTCAGGCTTGAGTCTTGAATGCAGAATGTAGAATGACAGACTGCTGGTTCACAAGCCCTGCAATATTAGGTTAAATTTCACCACTTGAAAAACCTTTTAAGATGGTTTTGGGTTTAATGTAGGATGTAATTAAAATTGCAGCTCTTTCAATATGAGAACTGTGCTCTTTCAAATTGTGATTTCCATATGAATACAATTAAATGTTCAGCCATAGTTAATACTAGCCTGTGTAACCTAAGTATTAACCAGTTAAGTTAGTATTGGGTTTAGTATTAGAGTTTGTCTCTTCCTTTGTATAAAAGCCAAAAGGCTCCCATGTCTGACTTAAGATAAAATCCCTTATTCTGCATGTACTGTTGCATAAATGAAAGGAGCGGTCTCCAGTCTTTACAATTCAGTTTTAACCTCTGAACTCTATTGAGAGATGAGATATAAAGCCTGGTTAACCTGTAAACATGCCCCCAACATGACTTTATATTGAAACAGAAATAGATGCTGCATTGTTTGTTTGCACTTTTCTGCCTAATTCAGTATTTATGTAGAACGATATCTGGAATGGAATGACAAGCTTTAAACAGTCCATTCTTGCTGTTGCATAAAAGATACTAGCTAGATTTTCATACCGTGCATGATTTTGCAACCATACTCTACTCTCGAGTCTTTAAAACATAGGCTGTAAGTTCTCTGTTAGGGATGCAAATTTGTGACCTCACAAAGATTTTATGTGATTGTGATTCTGCAGGAAATTATTCAATGCATCAGCAAAGTTTAAATTCACCCTGATTTCATTTGATTTTTATGTTTCAATTAGACAGAGAATTTTATAAAATTTTAAAAAAAGGAGCACACATTATTGAATTTTATTACAATCCATAATAACATTCCAAAATCACTGCAGTTGAATCAGCATTGATTAGCTCCTTAGGCGGCCCAAAGTTTTATTACACACTTCTATAACCTAAGAATAGTTCAACCAGTTTGCACTAAAGTCCCTGGAGTTACTGAACAATAAGCCTTAGTATGTAATATGTCTGGATTTTAAGTGGTTAATGCGTCAAAATGCATTTTACACCCCTACCTGTTAGACAAGTTATTCACTGCTAGCTATTGAATTGGTAACTGATGGATAGTGCTTAAGCTAAAGCTAACGGTTGTTTTCATACTTTCTCTCATTTTGTGTTTTTATGTTCCTTTTAGGGTCCAAAAGGTCCAAAAGGTGACCCTGGAATCCCAGGCATGCAGGGCCCCCCAGGGTTAAAGGTAAGGGGCAAGTAGGGGAAAGCTGTCCCAAGAGGTGTGTGGCACTGACTCACATATGAAACCCAGTCTGATCCATGTGGAAATCCTAAACATTTGACTTTTAGTCACCCAGCTCTTTTTTCTGACATGGTTTGCTATCAGTCTGCTGATGTGTCATAATCTCACTCTCTTGAGAATGCCGTAATCTCAGTCTAAACCTGTTAGATTGTAATCAGTAAAGAGTGTGTGAAATGAACCACTCCGTTCAAGATTAAAGAGCACCTCCATATTGAGCTGCTGGCGAGTACAAAGCATTGATGTGTGAGAACTTAATGACTACCAGACAGACCCTCTATACACACACACACACACACACACACACACACACATCATACACCAGCAAACTCAGTCCAGACAAGCTCAAAAACGAGAATGAAACAGTTACCCAATGCTAACCCCTGTTAGAAGACCCTGGGGTGTTTTTTGTGTCATATGGTTTGTATTAACCTGCAAGTGCATGTGTGTGTGGATGTGTGTATGTGTGTGTGTGTATGTATGTGTGTGCACATGCTTGCATGTTTATGTGCGTTTATTCAGGTTGCAGTGGGCTCTTGTGCTGTATATTACCTTGTCTGCATATGTTTACAGACAACATACATGAAGCTTGGCAGTTTGTATGTGCTTGTTCTCATTTGTTTTTGTGTGTGCACATGTGTGTGGATGTGTGTGTAGGGTGAGAAAGGAGAGCCATGCATTGGCATTGCTACAGATGGATCGCTGTTGTCTGAAGTGACTGGGCCACAGGGACCGAAAGGAATCAAGGTGACACAATAATAACTCTATTCATGTTGATATCTACAGGGATGGCTTGGTCTGTTTTCCTGTAACTGAAGATCAATAGATAGGAGTTATCATGAATTCATTCTAGAATATTGGAATGAGTCGTATATCAGTTTGCCCCTTAAAGTCATCAGCAGGTGCACATTTCCTACAGTCTCTAAAAGGAATGGTTGGACGAAAAATCAAATATCCACAAGTCCACACATCCACTTACCCCAAATGTAGTCAATCAGCCAGGACATGTTTAGTGTTAATATTTTTCTTTTTTAGTTTCCCGCTGGAGCAACAAGGCTAAGGTTGCTAAAGACTTCCAGTTAATAGTCACCCAATTTTTTCCATAAATACATCCCCACAAATTCTCTCAATCCGCTCAAACTGCATACAGTACTTCTCTTTTTGATTTTATTGAATTTACCCATCATGGATAAATAGCTACCAACAAAAAATTAGATTTTTTGCGTATATGCGTTTATTATGTTGCGAGAATACACAGTAAAGTGAAATTTCGATTTCGGCTACTACTGATTATTGTGTTATAATTGCTTGCATGTGAAATTATTTGGCCGGTTCTTGTGGGGCAGGTAAGCTTTTGTGGTCAGTTGGGCCATCCTGAGTTGTGAAAGTTTGGGAATCACTGCTCTAGACACAAGCTAAAATTATAACCTCGAGATAACACACTATTCACAAGCTAAAATGCTATTCACGATATCCCTAGTTTCTTTGCTTACTTAATCTTCATGTTCTGATTCTTAGACTATAGTTGTCTGGTGGTCTTAGCTTGGTTCAGAAAAATTGCAATGCTAATATGTACAGGAGAGTATGTTGTTGTTTGGAAGCTATAACTATGAACGTCATTGTCTGCCTGCTGGGAATTTTGTCATATATGTAGTCGTACTTAGAGACCATCACCATGTTTTGTTTGTCTTCCCAAAATAAACAGTAGGAAGTGGTGGATAAAACTGTATTGTACGTTAGTCTGTGCCCACATAGCCTCCATGACCCACATGATTTACTCACGCATTCTCTTTCTAGGGTGAATGTGGTGTTCCTGGACCTCCTGGAATAATGGTAGGTGCATGTATCATCTGTATCTGCATATAATTTCAGCATTGGTGTCAAACAGCAATATTGATAGGTAGCAAATATTTCATTAACAACAATGTATGTAGTTTGCTAATAAAATATATAAAAAGGAAATAAACAGTATGTTTCCTTTCTGTTTAATTAACATTTCAAATACTCTCTAAAGCTCCCTTTAGTATAATTTTAGGGGAAGCAGAACAGACCTGTCAAATCAAAACCAGATATGCCAGTACCAGTACAGTACATGGATCAATTAACTTCATGCAAATGTAAATACTGTACTACCTGGTATAGAAAATATCTTGATTTTGAACTTGGTCAGTGCCACCCAGCACTACAGGGTAGTAATCCTGTTGTTAGTTGTTGTTATTGTGTTTTCCAGACTCTAGTTTGAAGTCTTTTCCTCTTTTCCCATGTTGTATGGCTACAGCTGCTTCTGTTCAAAATGTTTTGGAAAAAGTTGTGAGGCCAATGTTGCCCTGTACTGGAGCAACAGAGTGGAGTCAGTGTGGAGCAGTCGGCCTGTTTTCTGGCATGATTTTCTCTCGCAGCTTGCCTTCATTTGGCTGTGCACCTGTTACAGACACTGTGGTGTTGATTAGAGTTTCAAGATCATCATGTTTCTGTGTTTGGCTCAATCAAACAGGGCCCTGTTGGACCAACTGGACCTAAAGGGGAATTTGGGCTTCCTGGACGTCCAGTAAGTGTCTTTAACATTCCATCACCTAAGCTCATACTTAATGGGGTGCCTGTTTAGTTTGTGGATGCTCTTCTTCCAAACCTGGTTCAATGTTATGACTAAAGTAGCTTGTACGTTCAGATTAAGACCGCTTCCATGTCTCATGGTAGGGTCGTCCAGGTTTGAACGGACGCAAGGGAGAAAAAGGAGACTCGATTGGACTACAGGTGAGTATCATACATCACACGCATTCAAACACACATGTTTGTACAATGTCATGACATAGGGTCAGACATATATTCCATACATATTACATACAGCATATGTGTAAGTGAATATATGTAATTGAAATATGTCTCATTTGTATTATAGATATGGTGAGAATAATATATATATAGTATTTTCTAGTATATATAGTATATACTATACTATATATAGTATACTCTGTACAAAAAATTTTGTCCCTACATATTATAACAATATAACCAAGCAAGTGCAACATGTCCCATATATATTTTATATACATGTAAGTAACTATGACCTATGATAATATGTATCTGTATGTTAAAAGAATCTTATTGCATATGTCTTATATCTGACCCTGGACCCAACTTTAGCCTTAACCTCGATAAGAACCAGTAAGAAATGGGTTTACCCTTTCATTTTTAAAAAACAAAACATGGGCCTTTAGCAAAAATCACTTTACAAAATCCACTTTGTTGGTGCAGATATTGCCCTGTTGTTCTCTGATTCTCCTACAGAGTCAGGACATGTAGTGAAAATGAAGAGAAAACACCCTGTAAGAGATAGAGAGGTTTGATGGTTGTTAACTGTAGGAAACAAAATTCTTCTGGTGTAATCATAATGATGTGTATCAACACATTTATTTTGTCTTAGTAGAATACTTTTGCCCAAACAACTAGAATACTTTTGGGCAAACAACTCTACAACCACAACAGCCTGTCATCACATGCAGCTAGGAAACATCCTGTAAACAGAACTGTTTTGATGGCTTTTAACAAGGTTGTAGCACATGTCTATGTGTCAATAATTAGCAGATAAAAATTTACCACTCTCAGTTTCCTATTAAGTCTTTCTTAACCTACTGTTTGATTGTTTTTTTTTGTTTTATTCTGATCCTTAAAGGCATTTATGAAAGATCCGAGAATTATGGTGTCAGATAAGACAGAAGCACTGAGGTTATGAAAATATTTCTGTGTCTGTAAATGATTAGCTATTCAAAGCTTTTTAGGTTCACACTGTTAGCGATTATATATAATATTTATTCTGTATGATAGAAATGTGGAAATTGGCATATTGACTATTTTTGGTATCTAAAAGTAGTGAAAAGGAGTATTTTCCCATTTAAAATGCTTAATTTCAGCATAATAGTTGTATAAACAGTACATAGATTAACTGAATTATAAAATGGATGTACGACATTCTACAGGTTCTTGTGCCTAGAATCCTGCATTAAATCACATTGTAATGTAAAGGTAGCTAAATTATGTTTTTTTGACTCTCTCGTCCCTCCTCCCCCCTTCATCGGCCTATCCATCCCTCCACCCTTTGGCTCTGAAAGGGCCCACCTGGTCCTCCTGGCCCACCTGGACGTCCCGGAATATTCAACTGTCCTAAAGGAGTAAGTGTGACCATCTTTCTGCCTCTTTATCTGGCTCATGTGGAAATGGAACTGTTCAATGCTCAGTGTCCACCTTCACGTTTTTATAGACAGTGTTCCCGGTTCCTCCTCGGCCGCACTGCAAAAAGACTGTAAGTAACTGATTGTGTGTGGCACATGGACTGACCTCAGTTTCATCCTCAGATAATGCCTCATGGTCACAGTTTGACCAGGCCCAATACATGGTGCTTTTGTCAAAAAAGGCGCAGAAGAGTCACTGAATTCAATTAATTCAATGTTAGTAACAACTTTCTTCATTATCGGACTCATTTTGTTTCTCGACAGTTACTTATTTGGCAGAAGCACCATATATTTGGAGCTTAGTATGGTGTAGCTTTGTCTTTCAACCATTCGTCTTACCACTACCGTTGCATGGATTTATAAAACTTACAGTAGCTAGAGCATCCCAAGTCTGTCTGTGTCGGTTTAAGAAGTCAGATTGATTTAAAATCAAACCACATCTTTGCCTCATGGACAATGGATGAGAACTTTATGTCTCAAAACCTCAAATGACTGATTTAATTGATGGCATATTTGGACGACTCCCTGTATTTTATAGTCTGATGCAATGTTCTTTACTCCCAGTTTTAGCGAGCCACAGCACAAAGTTAAGGTTTTCCCCCACTCCAGCACATCAGGTTCAGCTCATTAAGGGCTTGTAAATACCTGATGAACTGAAACAGGTGTGGTAAAGCGGGGAAAACACTAAACAATGCAGTACCAAGGCTCTCCAGGAGTGAAAAGCACTAGTCTGAAGTAGTCCATGAAGTTGCTTTGAAAATCTTCCCTCTTCATAGACCATACCCTGAAATACATCAGTACTGAATTTGCTCCCAGCATGCTGCATGTCAGATACACATTGTATGGGTTTGCTTCTCTTTTGGTGTCACTCTGTGAGATGAACTAACAAAATGTCATCCTTCTTTCAAGGAAACACTTATATAAACTAATATTCTGGACATTATTGTGTTCTTGCATCATCAAACATTAACAAGAATTTGTGGAAATCCTTTGTGGAAGTTTCCAAGACTTACATATATTTTGTATATACACTATTTGTGTTTGTTTGTTTGTTTGTTTGTTTGCCATTTAATATGTGTCTAACATTTGAGTGAATAAAGAAAAAATATATGTGCACATGTGTATACAATATATGCAAAAGTCAGAGACCAAACTTTTGCTCATTCAGTTTCCTCTCGGAATGACCATAAAGGACAAGTTATTTTTTTTTAAATGTTAGAAAAAAGCAAAAAACATATATGTAAGCCTCCAACCCTCAGGATAATGTCAAATCTATCAGTATTTCATTTTTATCCACTGTTTACTTGTGTGCACCTTACTGACGCATTAACTCTACCATCCTTCCAATCTTTAAACCAAACAATTACAGCTGTGCCCCCCAACAAAAGCTGTTCACTAAGGAGTCACTGACATTATGTTTCCCTATTACATTCACATAAGCAACTACCCAAACACACCTTAGCTGCCCTGCAATATTCTGGGTAATATATATATATATTTTTTTTTATAATATATATTTATTATATAAAGTTTTCAGCTTTTTTCCTGCCTCTGAAAAATGAATAACTTGTACTTGATGGCTGTTCTGACTGAAAATTAAATGAAGTGGTGGTCTCTGACTTTTGCACAGCACTGTATTTATATTTATAGAACCAATGTGTTTGTAGTTAAAAATTCAAACAACAGAACAATGCCTCAGTAACTTCGCAGTGTCTCCAATATGTTTTCTACGCAAGACTTGGTACTACTACTGAAGAAATTACAACTCCATATTTTGTCTGATGAGAAACACAAGTGCACATAACGCAAGTGTTTCATATTTCATAAGAACACATCTGTGCTTGTTCCTTTTCAGCTCAGTGGACTAAATATTCTGTTTGTCCAGTGCATGATTTCTGTCCCAGATGGGTTCACTCCAAAATCATTCCGTTCAGATTAACACCGCTTTGTTTACTACTGTTCAAACACTGCCATTCATCCTGACTCACATCTCTCTGTGTTTTTCTCACTCGTTGGGTTTGTACAGATCAATGGAGATTCTACTACAGGTGAGTTCTAAAGTCTTATTGATTTACCCTCTCAGATCATTGTTTACAGATTCGATTGTTACCAAATGTGTTGACTGAGTGAGTCAGTTCAAAGGAACTCTCTCCTAAATATCCTAATCAGGCAAAAAATGCCAAAACAATAAAAAGATGCTGTCAAGTATAGTTAAACACCAAAACCTCAGAACTAGTCACATAGAAAAAAAAAGAAAGATATGTCAGGCTTTTAGATTATCAGTGCTTTCAAATCTTCTCAAAGAGTGAAGTGATGATGATTTTTTGCCTAGATGTTGCTTCTTCTGATTCTGATTCTGATTTTTTGCTCACCCCATTTTTCACCTAAAGAGGGAGCTAACTGTTCATCATCAGGGAGTCAAAGGGGAGAAGGGCGAAAGGGGTCTCCCAGGGCCTCCTGGACCCTCATGTATGTCACTGTCTAAAGCCCTCAATCACAATGTATGGATTGTCACTGTCATAAGAAAATCTCACAGTTTGATTTTATTTATTTATTTAGGTTTTTGTTATTTAACCTTTAAATTATTTAGCCTTTAAATTGAGTGAACATTTTGTGATAAATGGACTAACAGAAAATTTGAAAAGCACACTTTTACATATTTCTATAAGTTGCAATAAAAGCTCAATAAAAGAAGAGAATGTTTTTTTTCCTTTAGGCAGAAGGTTGCTGTTTTAAGGCTGATACAAAGTTTTTCTTATGACAGCAATGACACTCAGTAGTGCATTACAATCACATTATTGCCATTGTTTCTCCTTCATGAGACTGCGTTCAAGTCTCTTAGCACTCTGCCCTTATTATCGCTTGTTTATTGTAACTGATTGAGCCATCAGTTTGAATGTGTTTATGAGCTTTGGGTTTTTCCATCACAGTTCTGACGCTGGGAGCGGGGAGCACGGTGAGTCTAAAAGGTTTATCACATTTGACTTTGATGCAAGTCACCAGACTGTGACTGAGTGAAATTGTGTTAGAAGTTTAAACCTGCATAGCGCCCTTTTTGTTTTGTCTGCATTTATTCGGGGCGCACTTATGTGCGATTATGTTGAGTGCTGCATGTGTTCTTGTGTTTTGGGCCATGTTTACATTCCTGCATGTGCGTGACAGGGGCAGAAGGGTGACCTGGGCTTCCGGGGAGAGAAAGGGGAGAAGGGAGAGGCCGGCATGCCAGGGCCACCTGGACTGCCTGGAAGATCCGGGTTGGTGGTGAGTAAACATAACACACGCACACAGCACCATTTCTGTACGACCTTATATTTGCTTTTTAAATCAAGTAATCATAGAGATAAATCCCATCTGATAGAACTGACCTTTCCTAATAGATTTATTGCATATTCTCTCCCGCCTTTATTCTTCTGCACTCTATCTCTCTGTCTCATCTCTCTGATCTCTCCCATCTCCATTCCTCTCCTTTTGTCTCTTCTATCCTTTACACTTTTTTTCCTCTCTTTTTGTCTCTGCCTCCCACTCTCAATCATATTTCTTCTCTATCTCTGCTTCTCCTCCTCGCACACACCCAATCCCCATCATCTCAAAGCGTGTTTGATCTGTCTTTCTGACTCGGGGAAAGTCATGTTTGATTTGCCTTTGTGAAAATTAATTGCCATGATGACAAACCGCCTTCTAATGTGTTACTGCCGCGTTGCCTCATGTAATTAGAAATGGATGGATTGGCGAGCCTTCATTCGGAGATGAAAAAGAATCCACGCAGAAACAAAACCGAAAAATGAGGTGCAAAACTCGCTGGAAAATAATGATAGAGATTGGTTTAGTTTGTTCTTTTGCTTCACAAATACGAATTTAATGGTATGACATGCAACAAGCAAATAATTCCCATTTGTACTTCTGACAAAGCTGAAAACTCCTGACCGCATTTGAAGCATGAGTAATGAAAGGCTGTCTACAGCGCAGTGGCAGTGGCTGATAATACAGATTATCATTCATAGGCTGTCTCAATGTATGATTTATGGCCTTGTTCAGATTGTTTGTTGTTTATCTATGAAGGGACCCAAAGGAGAATCCATCATTGGGCCCCGTGGTCATCCAGGACCTCAGGGACCCCCTGGTACTCCTGGCTTTGGGCGAGCAGGTGCCACTGGACCCCCTGGGCCTCCTGGATCTCCTGGACAACCTGGCTACAGTGGTAAATAATAAAACAGTACAGCGTTTCTGCCTATGTCTCTCAGTTTTCACATGTGGTATATTTGAGGATCTGTATGCACACACCTCAAAAGAAATTATAATTGTCCATCTGTTGGCCAGCTGAGCCATAAAGCCATCTGCTCAGAACTAGGCGCACTGCTAATGATTTTCATGCTTGATGTACCAAATCAGTGCCTCTATCAGCCAAAAAGACTTGATGATGATGCTGGCTCTTGGAAGTGATCTTTACATTACTCTTTTAAACTCTCTTTATCTGCTGATAAAAGACATCCCATTGATGAACTTCAGTGCTGAGAGACCAACTGGCCTGTTAAATGTCCGGCTTAGGTCCTCCATTCTGTTAATTCACAGGCCGTACTGGCACTTCAGCAGATTTTGTCCTTTCATCATTAAAAAGAAAGACTAATACGAATGTATACTTGTTATTTCAGCTCTTCCTGGCCCACCTGGTCCAAGAGGTCCTCCTGGTCCCCCAGGACAAGCTGCTGCTGTCTCTGGCTCAGTGAGTGACACCCATTATCTCACACAATCAACATCAGTCAGACGTATTATATGTCAGTATTGTAAAACATTGTAGTGCACATTACTGTGTCTTCATAAAGCAGTGTTTCAGCCAAAAATCACACAATTTCTTCCTTACCACAGATGTATTCAATGAGCCAAGATGGGCCTTGAGGCTAACTTATATCATTTGGGTGGTTTTATGTACCAAAAATGGTCAGAATTCATTTTTACATGAACATTTTTCATCCTTATTTTGTATCTTAGAATTATACAGGCTGTTTTTGTTACTGTGCCTTTAAGACTGATATGAATAACATATTTTCTGATTGGCTTCCCTGTATTTTGGGGAGCTTAAACACTCTCCAGAATATCAGTGTGAATAGGTGGGGCTAAACTGCTGTTGGAGGAATGTGTAAATAGATGAAAATTAGTTGGTTCTTTTGACATCTCAAAAACATTGAATTCATAAAAGGCTGTTTTTGCATATTAGTTTCTCTATAAGGGCTGTGTGGACTGGGGAGTGGAGGGTATGTAAACTTTAACAATGTTTTCATATTACTGCAGACTCCTTTATTTCGAAAAAGCAAGGGAGGTTTGGTTTTCCATGATATGGACCCTTTAGCTTTCAATGTTAAAAGTCAATGTAACAAAATTGTATTCTAAGTTATTTTGTCATTCATCATAAAAAAGGTGTAAAGGGCAACTGCTATTTTCAAGTTATGTAAAAAAAGACAACAAAAATGAAGACACAGAGTTTTGTTCTGACAGCAACAATATGTAAAAATAGACTAATGCAGAAAAGAAGTTGCATAAGTGGGGGAAAAAGGGCAACATGAACATAAATCAAATGTTTTTTAATTGACAGCATATTGCAAACACTTTAGTCAAGATAGAGAATGTGATTTCCAAGGAAGCCTATTATACAGGATGGTAGTTTTTTCCAAGGCAACCTGAGTACAAGATTTACTGCCCAGGTGGGGATTTGAACCCCAATTTGCTGCAACCCCAAGACTGTAACATTACAGACTATACTATCTTAGTTCTATAGGCCTTCTGTTTGAGCTCATCAGAGCCTTGTATAAATTCTTATTTTTTACAATAACAAAACTTGGTTTAGTCATTTATTAGCTCCTCCTCATTGCTATTTGTTTGGTTGCTGATTAAAATGATCACATAAAACAGCCATGTTTTCTTAAAGAGATTATAAATGCTTTATTATTGGGATTTCCAGCCACAGTGGTGAAGCATGCATCCTTATCAAGTCAGAGTTATTGAGGTAAAATATTGGTGGACAGTTCTGAACCAGAGGGGGCGCTCAAGAGTGCTGAAGCTTGTGGAACATATAACTGACCAACAAGCTCTGTTTCCAGGACAAAGCTGAAACAGATTTTGAAGAATGGCTGTATAAAGGACAATTATAATGCATGTTAACCAAGAGGGCATACTGAGGGCAGTTTAAGGGGAAAGGGGCATGGGCTGAAGGCCCCTCTGGTGTTTGTCTGTGCACATGCCTGTTTGCTGATACTATTTTTCGCTATGTGACATACTTTTCCATTATTTAGATAACAACATGTGTGTAAGTGAGATTTTTGGCCTAACCATCGGTTTAAAGTTTATAGTATACTGACCTGTTATTTTCCAGCTGTCCCTCCACTGTTGGCTTTTGGATCTGGAATATTCATAAAACTAATCTAAAGTTTTAGCCCTAATGTGGAGCAAAAGTTGATGGTGGGTCAGATGGAGAATATCGTATCTAAGTAGTGTGTCTATAATTAATGACATTCTGTTGAAATGACTGATTGGTCTTAATCCATTTGGTGATGATGGTGTTATCACAGGTAAAGAAATACGCAAGTCTTGAAGCCATGAGGCGCGATTCATACCTGGACGAAGTTGGGACGTTCTCCTTGCTTACAGATACGGGTAAACTCTACCTCAAAGTTTCAGGAGGTTGGAAAGAGATTCAGGTAACTTTTTTTTCATTACTGTACGGTATATATACTGTATCACTGAATGGTTCCTTGGCTCTGAATCGTACAGTGTTTGTGTGTGATCACTTTATTAGTAATAATGCTTTGTATGTATTTAAATGGACGATGATGGTATATTGAAACATATAATGATCAAATAGAGATCCCAGTGGAAAACAGATCTAATGAAAAACATCAACAAATCCACCCATTTGTGAAGTACAGATGTACCATATCGTTCAGGAGTTTGGAATCACTGTTCAGAATCAACATTTTCAATAATATAAAACCAGTTTAGGTGCAAATAAACTTCACAGGTTTGAAATAATTAGAGTGAAATTGGAAAGCTGTAAAAAAAAAAACAATTTCTATTAATTTAGAAGGATCCAGCATGATGAACAGAGCTGTAGCTGACTATAAAATATCTGAGATATAAATATCTGTATAGTGTCAAGAACAACATGACAATGAATCTTTAGAATGCCTCATTTCAAAACTGATCATATCTCGAAGTAGATCAATAGTGTAAGTAAATGTGAATAGACAAGTGAAGTATATTTAATAACGTTTCTAAAATGCTTGAAATTTTGAATAAATCATTCAAAATGACTTCTGATGTCTAGCTTATCATATCTAAATCTGTATTGTATGAGATACTATTATGGATTTTAATAACCATAAACATATATTTTAAAAAAAACATTGCTAATATAACAAACTGATTTCAAACTGCTGAAAACTCATATCAAAAGCTCTTCTCTTTTCTTTCTCTCCAGCTCGGAGGGCTGATTGAGGTGTATCCTTCTCAAATCCTCTCACAAGATGATGTAAGTTCCATTATCCTGATTAAAAAGTTTATGCATGAAACCTGATAAAACAGTAGATGTTTATAATTATTAATAATACAGTTTGGGACAACATAGGGTTCAGCTGAATTGTGCATTGTCTTTTTCCTAAGACAAATATCTCCAAAATAGTAACTTTACAGGTGAAGGCAAAAACATTCTTGACTTTGAATCTAAGTTAATGTAAAATGTTTTATTTCAAGTAATTTTGGAGCTTTTCTATTGGTCCCTTCATCGTGATATTGTCACACAATGTAAAGGACACATGCCATGTTCAAACAATGTAATAAAATAAAAATCAACAAAAACAGAGACACTTTTTTGGTCAGTCTTCCAAAAGAAAAGGAAAAAAAATGGGTAAGCAGTGTTCTACAGCCCTTAATTAATTAGTTTAGCTGTGTTTTAAGCTTTAAGCTTTAATGACCTCTGAAAGCTTGGAGGATCAGGATGATCATTCCTATAAACATACATCATCATAACGTACTTGTGATATGATAATTATGATAATAAGACCGGACTCCCAGGTAGTATAGTGTATCACACTTTGTTCTGTTGTCAGGGGATTATAAGTTTAAATCCTGCCATTAGAGAACATAACTGGTCTTGCTTAATTGGATACAGTGATATGCAGTACCTGAAACATTAAATAAGAAAAAAATTGTGCTCATAGATTCTGAGAGCATTCTTTACTTTCAAATTTAGAAGTGTCACACATTTGTATTGTGAAGCTCTTCAGTATTTTTGCCATATTGACCACACCTACTTGAAGCCTTAATCCATCATGGACTGGAATATTTGCAGGTTGTATGATGTGTACACAGAGAGGAAGTGAGGAGAGCTGGCAGGGGAACTGAGGTGTAAAAGTGTGTGTGTGTGTGCACTACAGTGACCATGTCAGCTGTAAAAAATGCCTCTCTAATCCTCTATAGGCTGGCCCCTTAATGCTGACCCCTCGACTCAGCAATACTCCTACGATCCACACAGGAAGTGCGGTAAGAATGGAAGTGTGTGCATGTCTGAATGCATGTGTTTCCACATGAACCACTCATGTTTTAATATGTGCGGTACTGTGCAAAAGTCAGAGAGCACCCATCAAACCAGCCATTAAGTACACGTTTTTCAGTATTCAGTGTATCCGCTCTTTGAATTTATAACAGCTTCCATTTTTTCTGTGAGGCTTGTTTTCAGTTTGTCAAAGAAATCTGCAGAAATATTTTCCCACACCTTCAAAGTTCAGTCTTAGAAGTTAGCTGTATTTTCTACTGATTTTCTCCTCTCTCTCAAAGGTGAAAGCTTTAAGTACTGTTTTTCTGATAGTGACAGTTTTGATGGTCTACCAGGTCATGCATATTTGTTAGGAGTCCCTTTGTCTCCACCTTTTTTGTTTTTATTTATTTATTTATTTATTTATTTAATTTTTTAACTCCAGTTTTGGAAACTCTTGTTTTTTTTGCTAATTTTCATTTAACTTTCCTCTTCCTTAATAACTTATATTTTATGGCCGTTGTGAAAATTAAATAAATGAAGGTGGTCTCTGACTTTTGCACAGTACCCCAATGCCTATTGATGAACTGGTGCTTAACACCAATCGCCTCTTGCCATTGCAGAAATACTCAAGTGACTGTGTTTTTGAGTAGTTGTAAATCTATACCATATGTGTGCCTGTAGTACCAATATATTGTACCTTTCCCATGCTATTCTTTTCTTCTTCAAAGACAGAAATACATTATATTCAAGATTTGTCATGGTTTTGTATGAAGCCTGTTGGGGAAAACCATTGGCTTAGTTCTAGCTTGTGTTCCTGCGGTTTTCAGAGATCCAGTTTTAGACTATAAATTACGGTGCTGTCCATCCAGCACTGTTGAATGGGCATCCCAGCCAGTGTAAGTTTATGTTAGTGGTTAGCTGCAGGGCAAGTCCGTGTTGAAGGATTGTATCTCTAGAAGTCACTAAGAGAGGACAACGGGGTAAATAGGGACTTGCTCTGTATAGACATGCAAGGGTTTGCCTGAGAACAATACAAGAAACAAACAAGCCTTTGTGTGTGTCCTCATGTGCATATGTGTGATCAGTTTAACACCTATTAGGGGGGCCAAGTCACAGCCTAACGCATTTTGGTTTTCACTTCATTTTTGTTTAACAATTTTCGGCTACAAATGAAACAAACTGTGTTTCGGGGACCTATCATTTCAGAACAATTCAGCTGAAAGTGGTAGGTGTGGAAATGTTACATGTTACTCCACAGGGATTAAAAGGGAATTTCACAGATTTTTCTAAATCTCTGCATAATTAGACTCGTCAGATGTGAGCAGTCACTCAGAGTGGCTTGATGTGAAATGCTCCATTCTAGCAAAACTTGCCAGTCAGAACTCTTGTGGTAGTGATAGAAATCAGACAGCTGCAAATTTTAATGAGGCTGAAAGCTACCTCACAGACATGCCTGATGCCTGAAATATTGTTTTAGAATAGTTTATGGAAAGGTTTTGGCCTAGAACTCATTTGTCAAAAATATATTAATAGCAGAGAGATACATGCAGGAAGCTTAAGGCAAAATGGCACCCAAAAATACTTTATTGTCTGATTTACTACTATTTTACAATCATCAGTATTACATATATAAACTCAGAAGACAGCTGTAGCTTCACTGGTCATTTTGGATAGTAATTAAAATGGCTATATTTGTGAATATTGTTACTGCTGGTTCCTATCACCACTATTGTAAAGAATTTTGAGTCAGTGTTAGGCCTGTCACAATTCCTACATAATTGCCTGATTGCAGTTATTTGATGTAATCGCGATTATATAAACTGGCAGCAGGTTTTTTTCCACAGTCATTATAATCCACAGTCTGTTGCAGACAACTAAACAGACAACTAATTATCAACTCATTTATCACAATTATTTATGTGACAATTAATCGTCAGCTAAAATTTCAGAATCATGACAGCCCTAGTCAATTTCTCTACGGTTAACTATTTCACATCAAACTGCTCTGAATTACATTTTTTTACATCTCAGAAACTGAATTATGCTGACATTTTGGAAAAATTGTGTAATTGCCCTTTAAGAGCTAACAGTCTGAAAAACTAGTTGTAACATTTACTGGATCTGGTAAGATGCAAACAGTATTAATTCATGTATAATTCTATGTTGTTTGAACCAGAAGGCACTTTCCAGCCTTAAAGCATCAAAATATATGCATCAAAATAAGCATGATTAGTGAAAAGATCCTGTAAAACAAAATGGCCTATTTTATTTGTTTGTCCACAAAGTAGAACAGCAAATACTAAACTGAAATATGTTTTAACATAACCTCTGTAGCTTTTGATCAATCTGTGATTAAAAAACTGTTCCCCCAAAAATAACTGTTTTAAATTTATGTGAGAAGGATGCTATTGATGGTTTGCTATGAGCAGCTTAATTGTAACACTGTTAAAACTAACCCTACTTTGTGGAGGCTGGGCTTTAAAACAGTGCTTTGTTACAGGCACCAAGTGGTTGACTGAAATAGTAAATGTGTGAATTCTGACTTACAATTGAAAAAACACTTTTGATGAAAAAATTTACTTTCATGACACAAAAACAATCTTCAGGGTGAATCTCAAGAACAGTCTGTCAGATAGCTGTGAAAATACTTAGATGATGTTGCTCTGGTAACATTATTACTGTTTTACCGGCACAAACGTTTACTTGTGGAAACTGTAGTGCAGTGTAAGTGATCTTGCAGTGTTATAAGCAAATTCAAGCCCTGTTCACTGCACCGGTTCCTCTTTGCCTCTTTTAGGAACCACAGGCTCCAGTACTCCAATCAAATTTGCTTCCCATTTATCTGATTAGATTTGTGTGTTTTTACTAGGACAGCTTGTGATTATTTGCCAAAATGGCTGTTCAGCACATGATGAATGTGAGCCAAATCAGAATTTGAAAGATCTGGTTGGATGAGATTTCTCCGCCTGTTTAGACTTCAAGGAAAATGCTAGACATATCAGATATATGAGAAAGAAAATACAAGCTTGACGGTGTGAAAATAAACCTACATTTGGCTGCCTGTCTAAAACGAAGCCCTAGGCTCGTCTAATCATGTGCTGGCTGACCCCTCTCACAGCTCAGGCTGGTCGCCCTGAACACACCTCTGACTGGTGACCTGGGCTCCATCCACTCGGTGAACAGGCAGTGCCGGCTGCAGGCTCAGGCCATGGGGATACGGGACGAGTACAAAGCCTTCCTCTCTCACCACCTCCAAGACCTGATCGACGTGGTGCAGCCGCCCTACCGCACCAGCTTACCCATCGTTAACCTCAGGGTGAGCTATGCATCTTCTCTACTACAAATGTGTTAACTGTTAGGCATTATTGACAGCATTAACAAAAGCATGCTGTGATTTTGTGTCATACTGGATAACTTTTAATCTATATTACATTTGTGTTTGTATGTAGAGCAGGAAATATTGTGTGATTTGAATTTGTTGAAAAGTAGTGGTGTCAAAGTTAACATGATAATAACACTTTAACGTAATAAATTCTTAATGCCACTGATGTGCTTCAACAACATTAATGCATTTTTCTATTCTGACCCTTCACACCATTTGTAGCTGTGAAGCCCTGCTGCATGTTTAATGTAAAAGTAATTCCTTACCTAACTAACTATATTTTTCATCATGTAATTGTGTAATTACATGATGAAAAATACATTGGGTTCAAACTTCTATTAAACTTGTACTTTTATAACCATGGGGCGAATACAGGATAAATACAGGATTCAGGGAAAAGTCATTGTTTAGCTGCTTCATCCACAAAACAGTGAGCTTCTAGCAAAATGACAGTAATAACTCTAGACTTATGAGGTGCCATGGCCAAGGTTAGCTGATTACTGACAAGATGCAACACAAATGCAAATATACTTTTTTAAGCTCTTATGTAATTTGATATTAATATATTATTTAATTTCTCGCTTATAGTTAATTGAAACAATGGCACATTCAAACCTGTAAACTGAATTTAAATGCAATTCCTTATGTTATTAACTATGTAACTATTATGTAATTACATATATAGATTTGAGTCGTACAGCAAAAGGACAATAAAAGCCAAAACCTAAAGCTATTGAAGCTATGAAGGTCTGTCAAAACAGTGTTTAAAATGTTCTAATTGGAAAACATTCTATGTTTTTCCCTATAAGCCAAAGAGCTATAGCTTGAACAAGCAGCTGATTGCATAAAAAGCCAGTTGGATAAAGCTGAGAACATTCAATTACTTGTGATGCTCATTGGCCATAATACATCTAGCTGCATGAAGTGATTTGCATTTCATTTTAGTACATCAGGCATAACAAACTTAGCGTAAACAAGTTTGAAGTGCAAGCATGTATGATTCAGTGACTGATATTGGGTCTTCTTTCGCAGGGCGAGGTTCTGTTTAAGAACTGGGAGAGCATCTTCTCCAACCACCTCCTCCCCTCTGGGATCCCCCTCTACTCCTTTGACGGCCGGGACGTGATGAGCGATCCCTTCTGGTCAGTTGCCTTTCCAAATTCAAATCGAAGATGGCAATCAGTTCACAGAGTGACTCAGCGCATTTTTAACTTAATCACAGAGTCCGTAATTCACAGAGTGACACACCAAGTCAGTGTATTAGCAAGAGAACCACTGAAGCCGTGCCCTAAAGAGAGATTTATTGGATTATATTAACGCTCTATTATGGAAAATCATATGTCAGTGCTATTATGCCATGATATATGTCACTTATTATTTCTTTTATGCGTCATCGAAAAGGAACAATACAGTATGACTCACTGAAGCATTTGTGACTCATCTAGCAATGGTGATCAAAAGCAGTCCATTTAAATTATTTCAACAATGAAACACAGCACTTGTTAGGTTTTAGTGGTGTACAAGAATAGAAAGCTGTGATTATGTCTTGGTAATTGTGAAGGACTATTGGTGGATTTTTTGAGTTCAGCACATAGCTGCATTTTCGGCTACATTAGCTTAAAGACATACAGGGTAGCATGCTTTGATCCGCTGCTATATGTGGAATCCAATCACAATGATTACCCCCGTATTTATGAAGAACCTGCACTGAACATCTAATGCAGTTCCAGCTCGCAAAAGCATTTCCCTGAAATGACGTTTAAAAGAAACAGGGTTGCCCAGCCACAAACCAGACTGAGGCTGCACCTATCCATTCCCTTCCCTGTTTTTTTCCATGAGCGTATTTTTACAACAAGCTTTGCCCTTCCTTTCTCTGTTTATGTCTATTTATACCTCAGGGTAGTAAATATAGCTACTCGTACTGTGCGCCGGGGGAAGCGGAGACAGTACAGCTGCAATTGTGGTTAGCGAGTGGCCTGTTTAGGGCTGTTTGTGAAGTTGGGCATGCCATGTGTTGAGCCATGTGGCAGCTCCCGTTTCAGCAGAGGTATGAATGAATGTAGCTGAAGGAGGTGGCCGATAAGGTCTACAGGTATCCTCAACATCTTTCAACAGCTAATAGCACAGAATTAAGGCTGTATGGATCTTTGTGAAAAATCTAATATGGCCTAGACTACACGTGTGGTTTACTAGCCCAAAGTATTTTATATTGTTTTAATACAGTGGTGCTTGAAAGTTTGTAACCCTTTAGAATTTTCTATCTGCATAAATTTGACCTAAAACTTCATCAGATCTTCACACACATTCTAATAGTAGAAAAGAGAACCAAATTAAATGAATGAGACAAAAATATTAGACTTGGTAATTTGTTTATTGAGGAAAATGATCCAGTATTACATTTCTGTGAGTGGCAAAAGTGTGTGAACCTTTGTTTCAGTATCTGGTTTGACCCCCTTTGTGCAGCAATAACTGCAACTACACGTTTCCGGTAACTGTTGATTAGTCCTGCATATCGGCTTGGTGGAGTTTAAGCCTCAGTACAAAACAACTTCAACTCTGTTGTATTGGTGGCTTTCCTCCCATGAACTGCTTGCTTCAGGTTCTTCCACAGCATTTCTATTGAATTAAGCTCAGGACTTTGACTTGGCCATTCCAAAACATTAACTTTATTCTTCTTTAACTGGTCTTTGGTAGAATGGCTTGTGTGCTTAGGGCCGTTGTCTTGCTACGTTTTGTTGAGTTTCAGCTCACGAAAAGATTTTCCCAACATTTTCCTTTAGAATTTGCTGGTATAATTCAGAGTTCATTGTTCCATGAATGATGGCAAGCCATCCTGGCCCAAAAACCTCATATCTACAACAAAGTAAGTTTACAGGGCAAAGAAAAGATATTCTTCATTTTTTAATGTAACTTAATGTAAATGTATTTAATTCTAAGTAATTTTGGACTATTTTTACTGGAACATTCATCATATAATTTTGACACACTGTAAAGGACAACTGGTATTTTTGAATTATGTAAAAAAGAAAAACAGCAAAGCAAAAGGTTTTGTTCAGACAGCGAAGATTTACTTAAATACATTTGAAACTCTGTGTCAAATTTTAACAGCTTATACAGGTCTAGACAATATTGCTTCATATTCTATTACTCACACACTGCTCTGCCAAGGCCGTTCATCAAAGTTTTCCAGTGAGTTTTGTTGTTATTACAGAATGCCAGTGAACTTTTTGTCCTTTGAGTTTTCAACAGGTTCATATTAAGGCTGAATTTCAAAACTCTTATTAGAAATGGCTTCCAGTTAAAGAAGCTCTCTGGAGGAGAGCCAGCTGGATTGTGCGGTCAGCTATTGGTGCAATAGTTGTTCTCCATGTTTTGGTGTGATAAGCGGCCGTTGGGACTGAATGAGATTGATGAGGGTTATGAAAGCTTTTACCATGAGAGGGCAATAAGAACTATGCTGTTAGATCAGATTATACACTTCGCCTGGGACTCACTCAAACCATGATAAATCGATTTCAATTCAGTCGTATTGACCAGATGGTTTGTACTCATGAAACGCCAACAAATTTAGGGAAAGAAAAGACACATTTCAAACACCTACATAAAGGATAGACATATTTTAAATGTATTTGTGCAATATGTTTTGTGTTTAGATTTCAACTCCGGCTATATTTAACTGCTGCACTTCCCTCATTTTCAACAGCTCTGCAGCGCAGTTATATACACTAGAGTTAACACATCCTCTACGGAGAACACACATTTGCACATTTTAATACCGAATTACTGTTTATTTGCTGAATGTGACATATTGGGGAAAAATAAACAGAAAATGTGGCCTGTACAAAAGTTTGGGCATATTTGACATATGTTTTATTTTTTCAGATAAGACAGAAATTGTGCACTAAATTCTGCAGAAAAAGGCCATGTTTACCTGTGTTACCTGTAGAGGATTTATTAACTTGCTTTCACTTTTACAACATGACTGGAGGTGTCCGAACTTTTGCATATGACTGTACCCACTTCTAGTACATCACACTCATTTCTGGTTTAAGCCAGGCCCACTTTTGTTTGCAATTAAAAAGAATAGACTGAAAAAAATAGCATTCAGGAATATATATAAGAATAAACGTATCGGTATTAGTACCAACATCGATTTTTTAACAATACCCAGCCTTAGTCCAAAATAAAAACAGAGCTCTAGCTGAATCCATAGTAATGGAGGAAACTGTAAAACACTGAGAATGAAGTTATAATAAAATTGACATCCAGAATAACTCATTTTCAAAAAATTGTGATCAAATCTCAAGGCACACAGTTAACTTAACAAGAAATTATTTTCAAATAAATAATACAGTTTATTTTTTGTATTTTTTCATTTAATAACTATTTGCTGTTTTGAAAAAAACATCTTAATACCTTTTGGTGTCTAGCTTATAGTATTACAGTCTGTACTGTTATTAGTTATTATTGAATAAAATAACAGAAATTATTAATATGACAACTGATTTCAAACTTTTATATGGTAATGTATATGTATACTTGACTGTTTATGATTACATTTTTGTCTGCTCATGCTGTCAAAAATCACTCAAAAACATTGTATATCATAAAATAATAGTTCTAAATGCCTCATAGTTCAAAAGTCGTGACCAAATTTTGAGGCGATATCACCAAACATGAATGCAGTTACAGTATATTAATTATTTTATTTATTACTATTTTTATTGTAACTTATTGTTTCCTTCTATATTTGTAATACTGAATGAAACATCTAAAAATACTTTTTGATATCTAGATTATAATATTTAAATATACGTTGTGTGAGTGATTATTGCATTTAAAACAATCAACACTCTAATCTTTGTGTTTGTGAACGCATTGTCTTTTCACAGGCCACAGAAGGCTGTATGGCATGGTTCCTCAGAGAGGGGCAGGCGTCTGGATGCTAAGAGCTGCGAGTCGTGGAGGGCAGGTGACATGGCCATCACCGGTCAGGCTTCCTTCCTCTACAGCGGCCTGCTGAGTCAGCAAACCCGCAGCTGCTCTAACCACTTCATCGTCCTGTGCGTTGAGACCAGCCCTGACCACAATACCATCGAAGAGCTCAGACGGGCACAGTTTCGCCACAGACGCTGGCACTACAGATACTAACGCCTGCGCCAGACTGCAGCCTCTGCCAGCAGAACGTCAACATTCCAGAAGGTGTAAATATATGTTTTGATCGAAGACCACATCGAGTCATCCAGAAGCCAATGAGCCGTCGAGTCTGCGGTTCTTATATCAGGTTTTGATCACATGGACATCAGTAGCAAAAGCAAAGCCATTTCTCTCTGAATGTAAAGCAGCGTGATGTCCGTGTCTCAGCAGAGGGATGCGCCGGGCCTCAAACCCAAAACATGTCATTTTGATGCACTGTATTTTCATTTTCTCTTTTTTTCCAGTTCTGATTCTCCAAATCCACAGATGTCTTTTTTTACATCAAGTCATCTTTTCTTCTTGAGTAACAAAAGATGTGTCAGTATTTAATTTAATTTCAGTGTTTTTATTTATACCTGACCGCACATAATCTAAATATGTCAAAAGATCGAGGATGAATATGTAATTTATAGTTCCAGTTGTTCAGATGAACTCCTGCTCCTGCTTTCTTTCCACTTTTCAATGAAAGAAAAGATTTTCTATAGCATCTCTGTTGATGAAATTATATTCCATTTTTGAAGCTGATGAAAACGTGACTGCAGATGTTTTTTTTTTTCCCAGAGAGCAAAAAAAAGAGGTCCTCTTATTCTGGTATGTTTCTATTTCTTGGACAGAAAACTTGAGCAGTGTTTAGTGAGAAGGAGTATTTTTTATGTTAACTGGTGCCTATTGAATAAAATCTCTTTTTCAAATACTTTGTGCTGTCATGTGTCTGCCGTATGTATGTAATGTTTGGAAAGGGGAAGAAATGTATAATTTCATGGCTATTAATGAATGTTCTTTAAGTTTCATTCAGTAATCTCAGGCCAGCCGAGTTTATTAGCAGACTGCATGGTAATCAAGCTGTGTTTTAGTGGGTATGTTCTCATAGCAGTGCTGTTGCTGAAAGCCTTTTACAGCACCATAAACTGGCTTGCCAACTGCAATGAGTCCGAAGAGGAATGCTACACCTTGCGCTATTGTGATGTGAATATTTCCATAACTATTTAACAGTCAGAGATGAGAGAGTCAGAGAGAGCATGAATAAGTAAACTGACAAAAATATAAAAATGAATGGGAGGGAATTACTTAGATATGTATTTAGATCCCCTGATGTAACAGCCACCTGTGGCCTGTAGTCCAGAAAGCACAGCTGGCCCTGCTACTTGGATGAACACTCTTGAAAAAGGTGGTACAAAGTGTTGTTTTGAGTAATGCCATTGACAAAACATATTAGTTCCCTAAGGAACCATGCTTGTAAATGTATAGATGTGAAAAACCTTTTATAGGTACAGTTGTATACAAAAGAAATTGGTCAAATTAATTGGTTTTGTTGTTTTTCCAAGTGTAAATAAATTAATACAAATATGCTGTTTTTCCACACATTGAGCTGCATAATTTCCAAAAGCAATAATTCCATTTAACATAACAAAACACACACACACACACACACACACACACACACACACACACACACACACACTTCTAAGCCGCTTCTCCTCTCTGGGTCGCAGGGGGAGCTGGAGCCTATCCCAGCAGTCTTTGGGTGGAAGGCAGGATACACCCCGGACAGGTCTCCAGTCCCTCGAAGGGCCATAACAAAACATAAAATATAAAATGTGCTAAACTTTTGCACAAGCCACATTTTATGTTTTATTCTTTCCACAATCTGTTATATTCAGAAAATAAACACCTCTTTTGCATTAAAATGTGCAGAAGTGTGTTCACTTGTCTTATTTTCACTAAGAAAATCTACAAAAACGTAATTTGACCGAGGCCCTCAAACTTTTCCATACAACAGTAGAAAATCTTAACATTAAACAAAAGTCTGCAACCAATTTAATGGTTCTTCCAAAATCTTTACATTACGTGGAGTTTTTTTTTAAGCTTTTAAAGGGTTCCTCACACTCATACATCTAATTTATAAAAATGGTTCTTTGAAAAACCATTCACTTCTTTAGGGAACCAAAATGGCATCACACAAAGAAACCTTGCTGGCACCTTCATTTCTAATAAGTGACACTGAATACATTCAATACTGTCTCCTGTCCATCTACAGCTTGGCTTCTCTCTTTTGACAATCTGGTACTTAGTTTATTCCAGGGATCTTTAAATCAGGAAACCTCTGGTTTCCTATTTCCTGTCCATCTTGAAGAATCCAAACCCCGACCCAAACCAGGCAACTAGCTGTATGTCTGGAGAATTGAAGTTTATTCTTGCACACAGGTACCAGACACCTAGCCAGCCCGTAAAACAATGGAGAGAAAGTTTTATAGCGGGACTGATGCCAAGATTAGGCTCAGCCTATACGTGACAAGTGACAGGTGTCACAGACATGGCCATGTGGGGATAAACAAAAATAGGCAAAACAGAATGTTCTAAATACAATCACTGTACAGGCACACACAATACTGAACACAATGACATATAATACACATTACAGAGTTATACATTCCTTCAATCTCCATCTCAGTTCTTCCCCCTGTCCATCAACAGCAGTACATATGAACAGATCATACACAGAAAGATTTGTTGATGTGTCTTGGAGAAAGAATGTTTTTCTTCCCATTTCCAGTTTGATTGGTGCTTTGCTTGTGCAGTATGGCATTGAAAATGTGGACAGCTGAATTGGCATTGGACTAATGGGCAGATATCTGGGCAAAATGAACTTAAACCCCTTAAAATTCTCAAACTCAGTAACTACAGGGACTTCAGTGCAAACTGGTTGAGCTATTCTTAGGTTATAGAAGTGTGTAATAAAACATTGGGTCCACCGTTGGGCCCTGGCCATTTAAGGGGTTAATGACCAAATCCTTTAAAATCTATGGACTCCAAATCCTACGAATTATTATTTCGTAACCACATGGAAAACAATGCAAAACAACTGAGTTATTATTACTTTATACCAAAAAAGTCGGCCAGCTCTGTAAATGTTGAGATTTTTTTACAAAGCTTAGAAATACTGATACTCATTACATGTGGCCGCTCAGTCTGACCCTGGAGTGTCACACCACTGTGTTTTGGTCATGAACATATTTGCAGAACTTAAAATAGCACCAAAGGCAAGTTTTGAAATAATGCGGTATGATTTCATCCAACTGCTTGTCATTTTATGGGTAAGTTTGCACCTCCTAAAAACAGCGTGTAGCGCAGAGAGTCCAGAGTGAGAAGCTTTAAAATGGTTGGCAGTGGAAACTGGGCTGGCAGGGGGTTCGCTTGTTTTTGAGGCCACTCTAGTGAGGTTTACCGCCCTCAGACTGGCATTGCCCCACTCTTATGTCACCTACCAACATCACATTGCCCACAGTCACAGCTTGAAATACACTGTACACTAGTGTAATGCAATGTCTTCTTTTATTTATTGGCCTTTTCCATCTGAATTCATCTTGTATGTTCATATGAAAAAATCAGTGTCTGAATCTCGACAATGAGCATGCAAAATCAGCAAACCATGGAAATATCTACTAATCTACTAATTTAATGAGCCTTATCTGTTATGATAGCGCTGAACAGTGAGATTAGCAGGGTATTATGTATGAGGGTTTGATTGTCAGGTCATATTTTAAACACATCTATCAGATTTGACCATAAGAAAACCAATCAGCTCCAATCCTCTTCAGCTCTCCTGTCATCTTCTCAGCCTATGACTTATTCCTAACTCAGGTGTTACAGAATTAATTATACACCACTAAAGCAGTCAAAAACGTTTTATAACTGAATTAATTTCGAGTTTGCCTGTTCTCCCCGTGTCTGCGTGAGTTTCCTCTGGGTGCTCTGGATTCCTCCCACAGTCCAAAGACATGCAGTCAGGCCAGTTGAAGATGCTAAATTGGCCCTGGGTGTGAATGTGGGTGTGAATGTGTATGTCTGTGTCTGCCCTGTGACGGAATGCCGACCTGTACAGGGTCTTTGCTGCCCTCTGCCCAATGAATGCTGAATGCTGGGACAGGCTCCAGCACCCCCACTGCCCAGGAGGATAAGCTGTTTAGATAACATGTGTGTGTGTGTGTGTGTGTGTGTGTGTGTGTGTGTGTGTGTGTGTTAACGACATATTTACTGACAACTACCAACGACCAGAGGAGGATGGGTGACCAGAGAAGGATCGGTTCCCCTTTTGACTCTTGGATCATCTCAAGGTTTCTTCTTCTTGCTCTTAGGGAGTTTTCTTTGCCACTGTTACCATTGGCTTGCTCATGGGGGCTTGGACCTGAATTTTTCTGTAAAGCTGCTTTGTGACAATGCCTGCTGTAAAAAGCGCTATATAAATAACAGTAATTATAAGTAACATACATTATTATTGAATATCAGCACCATGTCTATTGCATCCTAAGGCTGGCATTACACAGTGAAACTTTCATGCAACTAGTTGCATGTTGTGAGTTGCATGCAACATAATTTCCAGTAATTTGCTTATTTGAAAAACAATCAAAATTGCGAGCAACACATTCAATTACACCACAAATTAGTAGCTTGTGTTTTTGGTACTGTTCTCGATATGTGTTTGCGATGTTATGTTTACGTCTGCATGTCTGTTGTATTTTTATCAGTTGTCACTGCCGTCTTTTGTCTTTCTATCTCGGGTTCTTCACATTATAATTGGGTTTTTTAATCTGTTTCATGTATGCCTTTGAAAACAACTATTATGGCTGTACTTGACGCTCCTATAAGCACAGCAAGTTCATTGAGGAGCTCCCCTTCTGCAATAATAATCTAGCTGCGTAGATCACCATCACAGTAAGCCAACAAAAAAGAATAAACATTGGTACAAGCAGCTGTTCAAACAGCTGTTAACATTAGTAGGCTAGTTAAATCAGCTGGTTACAGAAAAGTTGGCCTTGAGGATCTCACGTTTATTTGTTGTCATGGCTTAGGAACCAACAAAATGAAAAACTACCAACCTTACATAATATAGATCAAAATGATCTCATCTTCAGTCATATAATACATCTATTTTATGTTCTTGTCCACTAAGCTGGCAATATTTAATGTGTTCACATGATGTATTGTTGGTGTTTTGATTATCTGTTTCATGAAACTTAAGATGCAGGATGCTTTAAATTGTGCAACACAAATGAAATTCAGCTCCATCTATCAAGTAACTAAAGTTGAGGTTTCACTGTGTAAAACCAGCCTTAGGCTTATTATTCACAGTAACTACAATTACTACAATTCAAACTGGCAGAGCTATTGTTAAGTTATAAACATATGTAATAAAAGTTAGGACCTGCTGGTGAGTCCTGGCCATTTCAGTTCATCAAGGCTTCTCATCTGCATGTGAGAATCAGGTGGATATTTAAAGGGCAGTAAAATCCCCAGGATCCCAAGGAGCAAAACAAATAAGGAATCAGTTAGTTGTCCACTATTGCTGCAGATATTTAGTCAAACCCTTTTGTTCTACAGTAATAGACACATTACTACACAGGACTTGAGTAACTATATATAACATATTAGTCTGTTATCTTCAGAAAAATGACATTTTCATATTTATTTTCACAAACCTTTGACTTGCTGTGTTATAATATAACTTAAGGGTAACTTTATCTTAAATTCTATCTCAGTTTTTGCTAATCTGTATCATCTGAATGATTTTGTGCTCAGCAATTAGGGATCCCCTGGAAGGCCCCCAGCACGGGCTCTGTCCCGCTCACGCTGGCTGTGACATTTAAGCTCTATCTGAAGGGGTCTACTCTGCTTTCATTAGTCATGTGCTGTATG